CACGCTGTCATGGAAAAGTACTTGTTCAGAGAAAAGATGCTCGCTTCTTGCTTTATGGCACCGGATCCCTTGACCGAAGCGAATAGCCTCCATGATCCCAACTTGGAACACGTGTTGCAGGACAAAGAGAGGTTGTATCAGTACTTGTTCGGAGATTCCATAAGAGGAAGCCATGCATATCAGTCCACTGCGGAACCTTCAGGTGAGAATGAGTCTGAGAGGAGGAAGAGGGAGAAGGTAAGGAGAGAGAACAAGATGCCATGGATGGATGAGTACTGGGGAGTCCTTCAGCCAGAACCAATATACTCGAGGACTCAAAGGTGGTACGTCATTGATGACTTTAAGGAGGGTGAGGAGATTTGCTGCGATTACTGTTTGGTCTGCAATCCCATAGACTCCGATTTGAAAGACGATTGCTATGCAGAATGCATCAACGGAGCAGCAAATAGATGCCGTGGGATGTCCGCAGAAGACTACATCCAGAAGCGATTTCATGCATGTGCTCGATTGCTTCACAACTTCGGCATGGGGCAAACGGTATCTTCTCCCACCGTCATGATCTCCGAGATGAACCCGCACGTAGACTTGATGAAGTTCTTACGCGAGGCGATGATCATCTTTAACGGGAACCCAGGTTTCCAGAAGGAGATCTCGTTCTTCGGGGGGATCAGGTTGTCATCAACAATGACGGAGAACTTCTTCAAAACGAGGAGAGGACCCAGCATCCATGTGGAAAAGCAGATAGTCGGCAGCGCCAAGTACTACCAGGGATCCTATGACCTTGGCAACGTGTGCTACACCAAATACCTCAAGACCATACTGGAGCCCGATGTATTCCGCACTATATTCGGAGATGATCCCACGGAGGAACGGGTAGGTGACATGGTGGAAGCGCTGCTGGGCATGTTCGAAATTGCTCAACTCTTCAGGCACATGTTCGGGGGATGGGGTGACATCGAAGCTTTGAGGACGGGATTAGAAGAATCCATCAAACGCGTCACTGCATCGCTGTACGACAGGACAACGTATGAGAACCGAAAGCGATCGACGATCAGGACCTTGGACCCGCACTCTGATGAGGCGGCAAACGTGGCACTGATTCTCGTTCGCATGAGGACCATGCCGCCTCCTGAATTCGACATCGACCACTTCTTCGAAATTGGGAAAGAACCAGAACAGGGAACAGAGGCTAATGACCAGCCCGAGGCCGAAGGTGTCGATATGGAGACTGAATGTGAACAGGAGAAGGAGGAGCAAGACGTTGACATGTCCGACCCGAAGACATCAATACTGCAAGCCATCGACGAATTCGAGGAGAAGATCGGGCAAGCAGAATTCTGCATCCACTGCATGAAGTCGGGACACACAACTCTCAATTGCGAGAAGACCCCTTCATCTTCACCTACAGTCACCTCAGTGTTGAGTGATTGGAAGAAGAGAGTGAAGGGAGAGGTTGCACCCGACGATGTACCATCTGGACATCCAACCGAGGAACCTAAGAAGAAGAAGCAGAGAGCATCGCCTACTCCAGATAGGAAGGTCGACAGCGAGTTCAGGCGAAAAGAAATGTTGAAAGCAAGAGTCGTGACAATGTTCGACCATGACGGATTCACCTTGATCGAAAGTGCTGATGGAGTCGAAGGAGGGACACATTCCTACAATGGGCGGAAGCTTGCGGAAGTAGGCCCTAGGGATATGAGGGTGGTGTACGAATTTGTAGAGAAGGCATTTGCGCACTCCAGTTCCCTCACACCAAAGGCATGTCATCACTTCTATCCCCTACCGACACGGAGGGAGAAGGGATACAAGCCGATCGACCCCATGACGACGGTCGGGAAAGTTGAACTAGTACCGATCAACGGAGTCACTTTCGCTGCACAGAACTCCGACTACGGCAACCACAAGTATCCGACTCCAGACTGTCGAGTACCTGAATACAGCCAAGCGAGCCAGGCCCTGAGTCGTCGATTGGGAGCGAAGTTGAGACATCGAATTGGACGCCAGTTCAGGACAGGAGGAAGACTCGCACCAATCAAATGCGATGAAGGCGCATGGGTGTCATGGGAAGACCTGTTAGGTGATAATGCAGTTTGGGAAGACGGTTATCACTATGGCAACATAGACATCGTGACCAAGAAGACGCGTTTGGAGAAGTACTTCGATCAGAACTATGAGTGTTTCCGCATAACCAAGAGGATCAGATTCCAAATGTTGGCGGTCCGCGTTCACCCTGATGAACTCAATGACCCTGATGACCCGATGGAGAAGGAATGGATTGACGAACTCAAGGGCATGGGAATCTCTAAAGGAAGACTCCACCATAGCGATGGATGGTGCTTTCCCGTGGCCGTAAGAGCAACCTCGGCACACTCAACGGACGGCGGAGGTTATGACGTTACCATTAACATCGACCACATTGGATCGAGAATGACCAACGACATGGCCCTATCTATGGTGACTGCATTTCACGCTACCAATCTTGGAGCGCTGACTTCAATCATGCGACGAGGGCTAGTGCCAGGAGGTCTCGGTTCATCAGGAAGGGATTCTATCCACTTCACATGTTTTCCGCCATGGGCCTGGGAGCAGGGCTACAAGGTAAAACCTTGGCTGGGTCGTAAGGTCGCATAGAGTGATCGCCCAGTGGTTCTCTACATTCCGGTGTGGAAGCTGCAGGAGTACGGACTTCTCATCTCAGCGACTGGATCTCTATTGGTTGAGAACGTCGTTCCCTTCGATGAGGTTAAAGGGGCCTGGTTGCAATGCGACAATGCGGAACCCGGACAGCCTGAGGAGATCGAATGGATCCGGTTACTCAATAGGGAACCCGACCCTGGAAGCTATCTTGTTCTGGAGTCCAAATACGGAAACCCGATCATGACTCCACGCTACCAAAAGCTTGAGAGTTTAGCGGTTGAGGTTCAGGACGATACCTACTCCGAGGACGACGCCAAAATCTCAAAGCTGTTGGGCATGATCGAGGAGAGTGGTGTCTACCCAGAATATGATAGCACCGAGTGGCAGGAAATCTTTGAGGAGATCGTGTACCGCCGGGCAATGAAAGACTATGACTCAAGACCGTGTCCTAACTGTCTTGGCGAAGTCGATGTGCGATTGACGATATGTCCGCACTGCGTAGCGGTTTTGATCGCGAATGGGAAGCTCACGCATGTGGTACCCAAGGAGACAAGGGGCCGCAATCAACGGTCACCTCCGAGAGATATCCCAGCCAGTTCTTCCGGTGAAGCAACTTCTGCTGCAGGTGCAAACATCGATGAAGTCATCAAGAACGCACGCAAAACAGCCGAAGAGGTCATTGAGGTCGAGGAATCCGAAGGAGAGGAAGAGGAGGAAGTTCCTATCATTTTGAAGGAACGACCGGACGAAGCTGAAGGCGAACCCGAATACCGGGAGGTCCCTCAAGATGGATACGGGAATGAACTTCCGCAACCTTTCCCCTTCGCAATTGACGAATTGCCACAAGAAGCTGCGATCCCCATCGACCACAACTTTGCAGTCACACAGCAATTTGATCTGAGGTTGATGAAGTTGATCAAGAGCTTGGCCAACGCAACGTTCGACATCAACTGCTTCGAGAGTCGTGAAGACGTACTGCGAAAGTTCGACGATGGACAGCGGCATGATACTCCGTACAATAGATGGCCAATAGTACCGAACGATCCGGATACTGGTTTTCCAAGACGTCTCCAGAGAGCCGAGGTCGTAGGCATGAGCAAATGGACCAACGACGTGTATGCAACAGAAGCGTGGCAGATCTATGAATTCCACGCCCATGTTGTTCACCCGATGATGATCACTGCAATCCGCTGCGGGCTTAGCCACAAGTACCTCAAAGAGGTCGGTAGCACTCGGCGTAACGTGAGTGATCCAAAGGCTCGAAGGTCTGAGACCCAGGAAGAGATCATCGAGAAACTGGCATTCATCTCAAATTTCATCAGACGCTTGATCAGGAAGACCTTCGGAGCGAGCCGATATAGTTACTACCAGAAACCAGATGACGAAAGTGCCGCTCCATACAAATTCATCGACATTAGTCCCGCCATCAAATCGGAGCGGAAGAATGTCACGAAGGAGATCCTCGTTGCATGCCGTTACTATGGCATAGAGGTATCCGCTATCCAAGCACAGAAATTGAAGTTCTTCGAGGAGCAGATCCGAGCGGGAAACCCAAGGAACGTTGAGCTCATCAAGGACTACATTGGCTTTGTCGGAGCTGACTACATGCGACAACTCACGAATGGTTGAGCATTGGGGTCATACCGACATACTACTTCCGGTACTTCAAGTACTGAGGGATCTTGGGTAATTCATGATGACCGTTTTGGCATCATGGGAGTGAGAGAGGATTGTGTTTCACACCGTTGGTAATCGCATGATACCATAGGTAGGTGCACGTTTTCCGTTTGTAGCTCCATTACCTGTTTGATCCAACTTTCAAGCGAATGCAAGATCGTTTGCTAATTCAATTCAATAGGACATACTGGTTGACCTCCAATACACTATTGAGAACGTGATTCATTCTCCGGTTTTTACATCCACTCATCTCCCTTCCCCGTCGAAGTACGGATGTGGGGGGTGTCAATAGGGATGAGGTCCCAGTATAGTTGCTATACAGGTACATGCCATATACTTTTGGCTCAAGTGCCCAACCAGGTAAAAAGGAGCTTTAGCGCGCGAGCTTCATGTTGAACTAAGGGCTAGAACGGGGCCAGGGCACAACTTTCCATCCGTTCGCAAAAGAGTTGCCGAACCAATGAATGAATCAACTTTTTTCAATTTTTTCCCTGGGGAAGCCGAAGCAAATCCCAAAGCCACATGAGCCCAAGGTGAGGCGGCGTAAGCTTGAACCGGTTGGCTGGAGCTGCTCTTCATGCCTGGCAATAGCATGCAAGCGGAAGGGCTTATGAACCTTACTAGCTTGAGAGAAGAATATGACGAACCCGGTTCCACACACGATCACCCACTTTGCCAATCGGCAGGCGGTCGCTAGCCACCTTTGATCCGCAGGTCTTCTCTGTGCCTTGATTGCATTTATGTTGCGACTCGTTGTTCATTTGGCCATGTGAAGATATTGTCGTGTATATAGCTCCTCTTGAGTTCAACCTCCGGTGTCTCCCTTCCCTTCTCCCGATTTGGAGGTGGAGCGTCAGCGCAGATGTGTATATAATGAACCATTGAAGCACGTGCCACGGCGTGCCACATGCCATGAAAAACCTCACTGTGCCTAGGAGGAGTGCATCGACATGCTCTTGAGCCGCCATTCTCGTCCCTGCAGCCGCTGCAGTCTCAATGGCTGTTCTGACCAGCTGGTGCGCGCATGAGTGGAGGGAAGCAACAAATGAGGGTTTCACTGTTTCGAACTTGTTTCAGAATCAGATTGGGGTATTGAACTCGGAACCCGGAGGTACACATCCACGATGTCTTTGGACCTTTCTGGCAGCCATTCTGCCGGCGTCTTCACCAGCTGGAGGCGTGCGTGCATGTACTCGAGTTCTTAAAGAGACAATCTATAAGGCAGAGAGCAGTTTTGCAACCAAATGATTGCTCATGGATGTGTCAGAGTGCTGGATTTGATTGATTTCATGGCTGCACCTTTGCATTGGGAACATTCGGCCCCAGTGCAATTCCCAGCAATTGCCGCCTCCGGCTTCCGGTTGAGGAAAAAGTGGCACAAACAAAGCGCCAAGCTCAGAGGCCTGATGTGCTGCAGGTGTGTTGCTTTTCCAAGAAGACCTTCTTTGGACCTTGCTTTTACTTTTTAGACCTTTCGTCTTTCGTTTTTAAATTGCATGTTTCCGTCTTTGTTCTCTGTCTTTGTTCTCTGGCAACAAGGAATTATGCCGCATTTGCTGTAATGGCGAAAGACGGTGCCTAAAGACGGCCCCTCTGTTCCCACAGCCCTTTTCCCGCACAGTAAGATACAGTAAGCTTGATATAACCACCCTTGCCGAGAAGCTCATGCTTGAACAATCCAAAGGAATTGGCCCTGGCCCTGACCTGCTCTTTTTTGAAATTACTGTATTTTTCTGCTTGTTTTCCCTCAATCCATTGCACTCGAGCCAGGCGTCAGGTAGAGCTGGCACAGACTGCGCAGGACACGGCCGAGGCACTGCGGAAAGCACAGCTGGAGCTGCGGCACCCGTGCCATGGCGGCACTGGCATCTCATGAATTTCCCGCACGTGTACACTCACTCACTTTCTGTGTATGTTTGCAGACCAGCATTTCATGAGTTTTGAGCGTGCAAGCCCAAACTCGACTGAGGACTTTACTGAGCCCTGCTTCCTCTGACAGGCGGTTAATTCTGACAGAATGAGCCGGAACTATCTCTCAGAATCATGTAAACCTCCCAGAGATTGGCCGAATTATATACCTTATTTCTGAAATGGCATTGCTTAGAGTGGCTTAGAGTCTAGAGAGGTTCTGGCAGGTTATCGCCATAGACTGCAAAGTTGCTGGAAACTTGCTGCTTGGTTGCCCGGAGGCCACTTCGCGAGTTGAAAGGCCGCTTAGAAGAGAGCGAGCACGAAAGGTGCTTTGCCTCAATCAATGGCATTGTTTTTTACAATGTCCCGCTGGCAAATGCAGAACTGAAAAGTGCAGACATGTTCTCAGGATGGCGCCTTTCCCAGCAAGATCACATTGCATTTGGATAGCCGCATACGATATTCGCGCTTCTGTATTTGCAGGATATGCCCACTACATGTGTAAACACGAAACAAAAGTACAGCGTGGCCCACTAGAAGAGACGCTACCCTTGCCCCCTGCAAAAGAAAAGTGCCGCCGGAGAAGTCAGACAGTAATTAGTCACTTATCCATTCAGCTGGACACTCCCCAGCCCAGGGCTAGAATAAAGTATTTGGACAGCATCGCGCCACGCAGTGCATTACTTTTTACTGCTACATTGATGTGCTTGACATGACTTGCCGCCGGATGGCAGTTATATACATGTTTTTCTTACAGTAGGTTGCTGAACACACTTAGATAATGGGTTTGCAGTTAACTCTGTTCCTCGGAGAAATGGACGATGGAAACGCAAGGTGGTGAAGTCAGCTCTCTAGGAAAGTTTAACAAAGTGTTCACTTGTCTGCAGTCGCGCGGCAGCTGAAGGCGGCTGAAGGGAAAAAAAGGTTTGGGGGAAGCATCGTGAACAAACCATGAATCAAAGCGAGGAAAGTGGAGTCACAGCTTGTACAAAAGCTCAGCAGGTACATGGTTGTGATCAATCTCCGCATCCCCCATCATGGAACAGCTTCGTTGGCACAGGTATCCACGATGGGCCTGTGCCCCCTGCACATAGTCTTTGGGACAGAGTGTGGCACACACAGAGCGCCGGTATCGGCGCTCGGGAGGAAATTACTACCACCTAAAAAGCCTTAGAAAGAAAGAAAAAGAAGAAAAGACAGAAAGGGACACGCAAGGGCAAGAGAGAAAATTAGGTGTAGTTACGAGGCCCACTAGTTACAAAACCTGCTAATTACTGAATACTTGGCCGCATGAATTAAATGTGCTAGTTAGCGAGCGGGACATTAGTCTTAAACCGCTCGGGTAGCTAGAACTAGAACGGGAGAAGCAGAAGGAAAGGCACCGACACACAAGTGTGTCGAGTACCATTTCCTTCTGTTACCCTAGATAGCGGGTGGGATAAAAGTGCGAATTCGGGTGCAAGGTGGGGGGGGGTGTGGGTGTGTGGGTGTGTGAGTGACACAAATATGTATGTAAACCTGGCGGTTGTCGAATCTCCGTGAAACCCGGCGGTGTGGAGTCTCCGTGGCTCGGCAGCATGTGAATCTGGAAACTCATAGGTGAAACATGTGATTCCAGAACCATAATCCAACGCATGCAGAAACCGCTGGGTCAGTTACACGGCAGTCCGGAATGGTCTCAACGCCCCAGTGACGGGGATCACACTCTGCACCCGGTGGGACGACAGAGCGGCACACACTTGGATAATGGGTTAGCAGTTAACTCTGTTCCTCCGAGAAATGGACGATGGAAACGGAAGGTGGTGAAGTCAGCTAGCTCACTTGGAAAGTTTAACAAAGTGTTCACTTGTCTGCAGTCGCGCGGCGGCTGAAGGAGAAACAAAGGCTTGGGGGAAGTATGGTGAACAAACCATGAATCAAAGCGAGGAAAGTGGAGTCACAGCTTGTACAAAAGTTCAGTAGGTACATGGAGGTGATCAATCTCCGCATCCCCAGTCGTGGAACAGCTTCGTTGGCCCAGGTATCCACGATGGGCCTGTGCCCCCTGCACATAGTCTTTGGGACAGAGTGTGACACACACACACAACTCGCTAGCTAGGTCCGGTGTGTGTGTGTGCTTCCTCTGATTTCCACCCTGGCACCCTGTAAGCACTCTGGGTCACTCAAGCGTTGCAACCTTTAAGCATTTCCTTGGGGCTCTCACTCTTCGATGCAGGCTGTGTGGTCTCCCAGGTTGTAACTTCCCCTGGTTGTCGCATGGCCAGTAAGCGATGAGTTCCACAAGAAGCCGACGGAATGATACGCATGTGACAAGAGGCCAAAAGAGTGTATCGGAAGGTGGTGCCAACTAGAGAAGTGGCAATGTAGTTGAGTGACACTCTAAGGATACGACTTGAAGAGCGACTTCGAACAAAGGTGGGGCTCGGAAACACAGTTTGAAGTTTTGCACTTGACTTGCACCTCGGCGTATCTCAGTTGCAGGAGGACTCCTGCCACAGAAAACGTGCCTTGCCTCCATTAGGGCGAACATTTCTGCACTAATTGAATAGGACAAGGATTCCAAGGCTTGAAAATCGGTGAGAATGAGGGCCACACTAATTGTCGTTTCAACTTTCAGCGGTGTTCCTAAGTTTTCCTTCAAGGCGCGTGGCGGGAGGAGAATGACACGATGGAGTCTTGACAGCATTGTTGGGAAGTGGACACTGCCAAAAACTCTCAACCAAGGAGGTCAATTGGTCTCACAGAATCCCTAGCTCAGGGTTCTTCGGTTTGAGTAGTCTCCAGTCAGTGGCCGGGGCAGGGCTTGGCGCAGCAACTGCTGGCCGCCTCGGAGCAAACGCGGCGTGGATTGGAGGCCGAGCTGCGGAAGTGTGCCGCACAGCTGGAGCAGGCACAGACACGAGCTTTCTTATGCAAGCATTGGCCATGTGGCCATGGCTTGTCCGATTGGGTAGGGGACAAGCTTGGTTGAAGGGTTGGTGTTTTCTTGAATCCATGTTGAAACTCAAGACGGCTCTTATGGTCTTATGGTGATTTTCAATGGCTCACAGTCATCCGCTGGTGGCTGCAAGAGCATGGGCGCCCTTTGTGTTAAATCCATGGCTGGCGACGATGCTGCCGATTGGAAAGGGGCCGGTGGGCATCACATGCCTGCTGCATCTTGCCCCATTTGTGAGTTTGGTCGAAGGCCCACTGAATAGTATGGCCCAAGTATCCTCGTTTGAGTGTTTCTCTCCACTGAAGTTTCATCCGTTTTGAAAGCCCAGGTGTTTGTCAATCACGGTGGCGGGCCAATGCCGATTCTTGGGAAGCAGCCAGGGATAGCCAAATTCTTTCAGAGCTACCCAGCCACTTTGCCGACCACACCGTCAGCCATTTTGATCGTTACGGCCCACTGGGAAACCGAGAGGCAGCTGAAAGTATCTGGTGCGAAGTCTCACAAGTTGTACTTCGACTATGGGGGCTTCCCGAAGGCAGGTGGGGTAGGACGCTACTAGTAGCAAAGGGCATCGCTACTAGGAGCACGGACGCTACTAGGCGCTCCTGGCCGTACTACTAGGAGCAAGAAGCTCCTAGTAGCAAAGGGCATGGCTACTAGGAGCAGAGATTTATGTAAGATGAGTGATCCTTGAGTGCAGTGACAGTGAGATCCTCGTAGGGTAGTTCCTGTAACAACGCCCACGCCACACACTGTACACTGCAGACCAACGAAGGACCAAAAAACATTTAGCCTGAGACGCCCTGAGACTGTTAGCCCCTGAGGAGAGTTACGAATATGAGTATCCAGCACCTGGAAGCCCTGGTTTGGCCAACCGCGTTATCTCTTTGCTGTCTGCGAAAGGCTTGAAGTGTACAGCTGATCTTTCCAGAGGTTGGGACCATGGGGTCTTTGTGCCGTTGATGCTCATGTTCCCCGGTGCATCGGTGCCAGTGGTGTCCCTGTCCCTATACGGCAGCCAAGATGCCACCGAACATATGGAAGCTGGGGAAGCTTTGCAGCCTTTGCGGGAGGAAGGGGTTTTGATTGTGGGCTCTGGTGCATCCTTTCACAACTTTGGGTACTTCTTCGCATCTTGGAGACATGATCCCTTTCCCTTTGTCACGAAAGCTAGCATGCTAGCTGAGTTCTTCTTTTCTTTAGCAATTGGTAGTGGAATGAGCTGCGCGCCCCTTAAAGCTTGATATATCACACTAAGGGGGGGGGCCTGGCCCCCCCCACTCTAGCGTGATATATCACGCTAAGGACCCCCCCCCCCCGCGGTTCAACTCCCAGCTGCAGGCGTTTTGGCATTAGTGGAGGTGTTGTTACATGTTGGAAATTGTTGGTGTTTTGTTTGGTATTTTTGATTTTGGGGTGTGCATTCAAAGCCAGGATGTCAAAGACATCATGCACTTGAATTTTGGATGATCCTGGGTAGCGGAAGCACACGTAATTATTGGAGAATCAAGATGACACTCATGGGATTTTGCATGCGTTTTTGCAAAACATCCACTGATTTAGTGTTTGTATTTAGGATTCATTGAGGAGCTTTGTCGGAAGCATGGTCAGCTTCGTCGGAAGCATGGTCATTTGCTCGTCTTCTTCTTGTGGATGCATCACATAACATTTTGGCCGCGCCTCGTCAGTTGATGAACCTTCAATACCTGAGAGTAAAGTGTTTGAATTTACTGTCTTGGACATGTGTGGTTTGGCAAAACTGTTGATTGTATCCATACCCACCAAATTTGCTACCGGCTATTTCTTGAAGACGCTCTGTTCCTTATACCTTTTACCAGTGCTTATCCTACACTATGGACGCTCCAATGTATGTACAGTCCTTGTGGTGCAAGAAATGCCGACCCCTCTTTCCGACCCAAGGCATACGAAAGCGGGGGGTAAATTTACCACCAAATTTGCCATAACCATAAGCCGGCTATTGCCCCAAGACGCTCTGATCCTTATACCTTTTACCAGTGTTTATCCTACACTACGGACGCCCTAGTGTATGTACAGTCCGTGTGATGTCAGAAATGCTCACCCCTCTTTCCTACCCAAGGCATACAAAAGCGGTAGGTAATCACGAAAGCTAGCATGCTATCTGAGTTCTTCTTTGCTTTAGCAATTGGAAGTGGAATGAGCTGCGTGCCTTAAAGCTTGATCACGAAAGCTAGCATGCTAGCTGAGTTCTTCTTTGCTTTAGCAATTGGTAGTGGGATGAGCTGTGTGCGTTAAGGCTTGATATATCACGCTAACCCCCCCTCCCCCCCCCCGTTCGACTCCCAGCTGCGCCGTGTAGCGGGGGTTGGTTGAACGTGTGAACGTGGTTGGTTGGGTGTAAACGGTGGCTTGGTGTAAACGGTGCTGCTGCTGCCGCTCTGCTGCTTGCTGCTGCTGTTTGCTGCTGCCGCTGGTTGCCGCTTTTGTAGCTGCTGCTTTGCTACCTGTTGCTGACGACGCCGCTGCTGCTGCTGCTGCTGCTTGCTGCTTGCTGCTGCTGCTGCTGCTGCTGCTTGCTGCTTGCTGCTTGCTGCTGGTGGTGGTGCTGCTTGGTGCTGCGCTGCTGCTGCGTGGTGCTGCTGGCTGGCTGCTGGTTGGTGGTTGCTGCTGGCTGCTGGCTGCTGGCTGCTGGCGGCTGCTGCTGCTGGCTGCTGCTTGCTGCATAGGCCTTGTACTTCACTGCTACAAGTTCTTTACCCTATTTCTAGCCCAATGCATGCATAAGCGGGGGGTAAATTAACCCCCCCAGATTTGCCATAACCATAAGCCGGCTATTTCCTCAAGACACTCTACTCTACTCCTTATACCTTTTACCAGTGCTTATCCTACACTACGGACGCCCTAGTGTATGCACAGTCCTTGTGATGCCAAAAATGCTTAAACCACTCTTTCCGGCACAAGGCATACATAAGCGGGGGGTAAATTTACCCCCCAGAATTGCAATAACCATAAGCCGGCTATTTCCTCAAGACACTCTATTCCATATACCTTTACCCGTGCTTCTCCTACACTACGGACGCCCTAGTGTATGTACAGTCCGTGTGATGTCAGAAATGCTTACCCCTCTTTCCGACTCAAGGCATACAAAAGAGGGGGTAAATTTACCCCCCAGATTTGCCGATCACGCATCTTCGTGCCTGCCAACGAGTGCACCCGTGTTGTTCCAATGTACCCTTCCCAGTCGGCGATGTCACATTTACAGATTTACATTCTTTAGCGCAAAGTGTGTACGTAGCAACCTTTCTCCCAAAACATGTAATCACTACATGCTTTGCCGACTATGTAACTAGTACATCCGGTGCGATTCGGCTAGCTTTCGACCTCCCCCTCCTGGCCTCAAGTCAAGCTTCTCTCAAACTTAAAGCCTGCAATTTGAGAAGACCGCCGCGCGGGCATTATAAACAGATATAATATGTGCCAAATGTGTCACATTCTTGATCGCCAGAGGCACGAGATCCTACTGTGAGAGACAGAGGAATCAAGCATTCTGAGAACTTTCATGCTTGGTTGGCAGACACTGTGCAGTCGGAGAAGATCAGCCAAGAGGTGGGTATTGTGTTTGGTGGTTTGCCACCATAAGGCTGCGAAGAAGCGGCCGCCCGGAAGGGATTTCCAGATTTCTTTTGTGACGCGGCATTTGTACAGGGGTATCAAAAGCATCCATATGTTTGAAGCAGAAGTGTCTTGGAACAATTCGCGCATCATCCACCGAGCACGGACATGTGCGTATATAGATTTTCTGATCCAGTCAAAGTTCTATATGTCCCAGCTGCTCTTTGCTCAGATGGCCATTCAAGGCTTCTCCAAGTTTGGCAGCCTGAAGGAACCTGTTAAACAATATATTGCTAAATGATTATCCTTGCAATTTCTTGAGATTGGAGTCGCCTTTGGTACAGGAGCGGAAGCGTCGTCTCAGCTCTTGGTTGGAGGCCCCTAGCGCCTTAGAGGCTCAGCCCCGAGGCCAAGCAGAGCATTTGATGCCCCTCTTTGTGGTGCTCGGGGCGGTGCCTTGCAGAGTTCAGCACATCTTTGGGGAACCTCTGAAGAGTTCATTCAGCATTCCCTGGAGGAGTTCTTTTTCCTTCTTCGGGTCTGGGACATTCCAATTAGGGTAGTGGACACTTTCTCTTGGCTATTGAGCAACCGTGTTATGCCTACCGCTCTAACTTGTACAACGTTTCCATTCTTGTCAGTCTGTTGATGCGCTTCGTATGCTTTCGGCCCCCTTGTTTTGGTCTCGGTTGGGAATAATCAACGTTCAATGCCGAGGCGGGCTATGCACCTGGGCGGTTGTTGAATGCAGATGCTGACCAAGCTCCACAGTCGTTCTATGTTAGTGAGTTTGAGTTTCCGTAGTCCAAGCCCGTGCTCTGCCTGAAAGATCCCCGAAGGGGATCACCAGGAGAGGCAGCTGCCACAGCTCAGAATGTGAAAAGGTCCATGCGGGCGCTGATGCCATTGCCAAAGAAGAGTATGTAAGCAAGTGGAACATTTTCCTTTGCCTGCGCATGTTGGCGGGGCTAGATGGAATGATTGGGGCATGACTGCGGCCTTGGCTGCGTGCAACTGGCAACAAGCCGACAAGCTTTCAGGCGGAGCGCGACAAGAAGCAGCTGCAGAAAAACCTCGCAGATGTGCAAAGTGAGAAAGCTAAAGGCCTACTTGCCCCCTCAGTTGGAGACGCAGGGGACATGCGTTTTGCAGTTTGTCACAGGAATTCTGGTAGGCCAGCCTGATGCTGAGGAGCAGATTGCGGAATGCACATGTGCAGTAATTATCCCTCCAACATGATATGGATGTGGCAATCCACGTCCACTTCAATTGTTGTGCAGCGTGAGAGTTAGACCACTGCTGCAATGCAGGTGATTCTGCGACCGTGGCGTCAATGACTGAAGAGCTGGCAAAGGTTCGGAAAGACAATGAGGCTTGGCTTCAGACCCTGTCTCAATAGTATAGGTTTATCCTTTTCCACTCTCCCGCGGCACTGCAGTGTTTCTCAGTTGTACTTTGATGCTACCAAAGGAGCACCAGACATCAACAAACCTGCACCTGCACCCTCTCATTTCATCATCGCCTGCACAGCACCGTTGCTTTCTCCAAGGAAACTCTCCGGGCAGCGAGTTCAACAGAGCGCCAGGTGCAGCGAAGATCCTGTTAGCCAGTCAGTTCCACAGATAGGCAGCAGCTTTAGGTCAAGTCATGTCTATGGGTCCCACAACTGGCACTTGAACCGAACTTGGACCTACGTTGGATTCCGTTTGAAATCGATATATGCCAGGAGGTGCAGAAGCTCCGGGATGAATTAGAGGAACAACGGCAGGCAAGCGGGCCTGGATAGGATTGCAGCTGTTTAAACCACTTTCAGAATGAATGCGATTGAGTCTGTGAAACGGCTTCCATTGGCAGAAGTGTTTAAGGAATGCCAAAAGCAGCGGCAGCAGCTGCACGACTCCTCTACCAAGGAGGAGGACTTATGGGGCTCATCCTGCCACAAATGACCGATCCCTGTCGAAGCCGCTGTCGATTTTTGAAGCACAAAAGATCTAGAATCCAACAAATTAGTGCCAGCGCTTCTTGAAGGAAGCTTAAAGGCGGCGGGGAGCTTCCTTGAAGAAGCGTGAGCTATCCTGTAGCTACTCGAGCTACTAGCTACCTCTCCCTACTAGCTACCGACTCCCTATATAGCTAACCTCTACTAGCGGCCTACTCCCCCGGGCTTTAAACATAAACAGTTTGTTCTTTGGGTTAGCACTATTCCCTCCAGGAGCTGCAGCGTGAGCTGAAGCAGCGGGCGGATGACGCGGCCAAGTTCCAGCGGCAGGCTGCGGAGAGCATGACCCAAAGGCGAGGGTCATATTGGCATTGGATGAATACCCTGGATGTATATAAATCGGGATGGCGGCACAGTCAGAGTAGGAGTAAGATTGGCGGACAGATCTTGCTGTGTCTGCAGCCGGGAGCGCAACTTTCACTGATCTCAGAAGACATGTGTCCGAGCGGGCGATGAAGACGGAAAGGTCAAGAAATCCAGCCCAGCCCAAACTCGCGGCCCAGACTGATCGAGATGGAGGCGGAGGAGCAGAGACGGCGCAACGACGTTGCTGAAAAGAAAGGCCTTGAGGCCTGGGTCATTTTGAGGGGGAGTGTTTCGAGGAACGCTAAACAGCAGCACATCAAAACAATCTTAGTAGGGCTGTGAAACGTTCGTGTATTATATAGTGTACATTATTGTATATGTTACTGGGCAGTGGGAAAGAGTGTCAAGGAGCTGCAGGTTAGCGAGTGATAACCTGGGGAAGTGCTGGTGCAAGATTAGTTACTGGAAGATTCTCTAATGGCCTAAACGACCAACGTGAACTGAGAAGGTGCTGGTTTCCTCCAAGTCTTACTCGTGAACTGAGGACCCTCAGGCATGCCATGAAGCGGGCAGAAGAACATGTCTCATTTGTTGCTTCTGTGCCTTTCTGGTGTTGGTGGGTGTATAGGTTGCTTGAGACTCTGTGGCCCGCAGGCAAGATGCGTCCAATTGGAAGAAGAGCTCATTGCAACTCGTGAGACCATGGTGGCTTGGCAGTAGTGACGATGAGTGGAAGCCAGATGTTTCAGTCAACGCAAGGCGCTTGTTGTCTAAGATCGCAGCAGGCACCGAATCATCTCTGGCTTTGCTTTGGGGGTTTCTACTTCTTCACAGGATTTGGGCTGTGCTTCTGCCTCCCTGTCTTATGTTTTGCCCGCTGGACATCGGTTTGACATGTTCTCCAAGCTTTGTTTCCCGTTTGCCTTGCACTGTTCCGACACTGTTTTGGCTGGTGGATGCTTGTTTTCTCCTTTGTGGTCTATATAGACTCGTTAAGCTGTTAAATAAGGTCACGGTCCGCCTACCAGCCTCGCAGATTTTGCATTTCTTTTTTCAGTTAAGGGCTGCGTCGTGCTGTCCAGTCGATACATGAAAAGTGGGTTATTCTATATACGTACCAATTCGGTATGTATATAGCATTTTGGCAACACCTTGATGGTGTTCTTTGTTTGGGGATTCTGAATCAGAAGCAAGAACCGGAGCTGGCTTATATTCCATCATTCTTCACCAGACTTCTCGTCGCTGTCGACACGACCCACCACAACCTGAAGGCACTTCTCCGAAGCAACGTCGTTGTTTTGGCGTCATCGCTTAGCCCCGCTCTCCCACCCACAAACAGTAGGCATGACGCAGCAGTATGTATCGGATCATTGCCCCCACCCCTAAAGTAAAAATAACAAAACAACAACCACGGGACCGTTAGACGTACTGTCAGCTTAAACCAAATCCGTTACCTCGACAAGATGCTTAGGACCAGATAGTGTGGGCAATCCAGCAATCTGTAAATCTATGGAATCTATGGAATCTATGGTCAAGTTTATCAGGGTCTCCACCCGCAGGCCCGGCGGGAGCGCGAAGCAGTGGAGGCCGTGCACCACGCAGTTCTGCGGACCCGGGCTGAGGCAGAAGAGCCTCTTGGCAGTTGCTGTGCCATGATGCTGGAAGGCCAAGAGCCCATGTCAAAAGTCTACCGTCTACATACATGGACATAGATAGACGGTATTCTAGACTTGTGGTCCTTGTGGCTACCAACACCTTTGTGTGGCAAGTGCCTTACTCTAAGGCAGTTTCAGGGTCAACTCGGCAAAGTCGAGATGCAGCTGCAAAGCACAGAGAGCAGGCTGAGACAGGCACAAGAGGATAAGGAGGACAGGAATAAAACGTCCTGTCCTGGATTCATCGTGTTTCCGTCACCAGGCGAACTTTCGGTTATATATGCAATGTGTGGGACATGGGCACCCCCGAATTTTGCATGGCATCGGGATCCGTTATGAGGTTCGGCCGAAGTGGTTGCTCGCGATAGGACTTGACGGCGATGGTCGGCAAAATCTCTGAAGAGTTGGGCCAACTGCAGCATGATCTCATGGACAAGCAGCCCACTTGCCCGCATTGCTTTTCAATTCAAGTACGAACCAGATCCGTCCCCTACATCACTGTGGACCAAACCCGAGGCGGCAGATCTCTGAGACCCACGACCTGTCGAAAGCTCGACTGGAGGAGCAGCGACAGCAGTTGCAAGAGCAGCAACAGCGGCTGCAAGAGCAGAGACAACAATTGCCGCTTTGTTGCATTTGGTGATTCTGGCAGATGTTAAACATGGATCATTTGCCAAACCGAGCTATGGGCTAATCAAGGTGTGTATTCAGTCCCCTGTTACACTCTCAGGCTTGAGCAGGTGGAGACTCAACAAAAGGAGTTTGCGGATCGTCCTCCTGACTGCACTTAATGGGGCTGGGGCACCCCCTTGGCAGAGCATGACAGCAAGAAGCTACTAGTAGCTCCTGGCATTACTACTAGGAACAAGAAGCTATTATATATAGTAGTAGTAACAAGGGCATTGCTTCTAGTGGCAAGAAGCGGAAGGATTTCTTGGAATTCACTCTTTGCGCGATATGCCCTGCGCACTCATTTGGAGCCTACTGGTAGCTGAGGCTCAGAGTTCCTTTCAGGCTCTGGGGGTGGGGTGTTACGGGGGCTGTTCGTTGAAGGCCTATCAAGAAGCAGTAGGCAGGGTATTGCGGACCTGCTTGGTATGACGCCTTGTAGTGGAGGGAAGGGAAGAGGTGGCTCACATGCGTCTTGCAGACTAGCAATCATTGGCCGAGACGTAGAAGCCTCCAGATCTAGAGCCTAGAATTCATAGCCATAAAGGATGTTCACAAAATGAATTGGAACATTGGAAGTCAAACAAGTATATGGTTGAATTGGTTTGGTATTGTCAGGAAATAGATAGATAGTATGAACAAGGCATGACCTTGGAGCAGAGCGTGAGCTCGATCTCGTTTTGCACGAGTTTCACCAACAGGTGAGGTGATCCGCCTGAAGTTGGCTTCTTGCCTTGAGCTAGAACGCTGCAGCATTTCGACCCCTTTTCAGAAGCAGAGATGGATTTCTGAGGAGAAAGGAAGCCTTGAGCAGCAGCTGGGACAACAATCTGCGGTTACTTGCCTCAAAAAGTCAAGTCGAAGCATAAGAGAAGCCACAAGAGTATCCCACACACAGACGCACGCAGACACGCGGCGCTTTTGTTCAGGAAGCCTTGCGCCTGGGGCAAGAGTCGAAGACTCTTGAAGAGCAGGCTCGGTGGGTGTGAAGCCAATCTGCCCTCAGGGCCCTCAACCCAAACATAGAAGCGGAGATTGGGTATGAGTAAGCCAAGCAGTCATGCCACATCATGATGGTTGCCCCCGCTCAGGTTCTGAGTCACATTCACCTAGAGAGTCCGCGCTAAGTCTGAACCAAGGTGTCTCAAGCGAGAAGCAATGAGGCTGAATCGCAGCTCGGGCCAACAAAGAAGCAATGACAGAAAAGGAGCATTTCACGATCCTATATCCCTTCTTTGGGCCGCGCGCGGCGCAGAGTTCCCCAAAGCATCCAGTTGCGGCACAGAGTCCCCAAGTGCAGCACAAGCTCCATCCTTCTCTGAGGAAGATGGAGCAAGAGCGGCTGAATGCTGAATTGCAATTGCAGCGGCAGCTGTGTCAAGACACACAGACCCAGCCACTTGGTGAAATGACATTCGCCGAAAGAAGTTGCATCCTACCGCACAGTGGCAACGCTCATGTGAACTCATGTGTTGGCAATTCTCAAAGGCAGTGAGCCCCTCACGAATAGAACGTGGACATTTCTAAGCATTGTATATACATACTGTATATAGTTTGGAGTTTGGCACGTGAGTCACGTGAGTGCTCCATCTCAACCCTCGAAGTCACTTGAGGCTTGCATCACTTTCAAAGGAAGCACAGGACCAATGATCGAAGTCGGGTTGGTTTGCTGACAGCATTGGACTTTGCTGATGGGACGTTTTGTTTTTGAAAGGGTTATCCGGTGCAGGAGTTGACTCGGGAGTTCTCAAGAAGAGGTGCTGGGCCAATGGAGCAAAATAGAAATACCAGCCGCAGGTGTTTGGCTTCCGTTGTGGGCATGTGCGGTGGGTGTGCCAGGCTTGCGAGAAGATCAGCTCCTTGATGTTTCCGGTCACCTGCAACGTTTGGAGGAGCAGATGCTGCTTGGCTGCACATGACCCCTAAGATCTAGAACTGATCATTCAGCACTCTAAGACAAATGGCAGAAAGAGTTGCGACGCCTCAGGCAAGAGATTCGATTGCAAACGCCTGGAACTGAGCCGCTTTTCCTTGTTTGCTTGGGAGCCTGGGAGCCTTTGACCTGCCGAAAAGCAGGTCTCTTGCCAGCCCTGCATCGCCTGTTGAGTGCTCAGCTTCTCGCAAGAGTGTTGCACTATTTCGCTATTTATTTAAACTCCGAAAACATTGACACTGTTTCCATGTAAATAGCTTCAGCTTGTAAGGTTTGCACTACAGAGCTGGGCACAGTGGACCGGCTTGGGCAGTGTACCTGATTTTTCCAATAGTGTCAGACATGGCTTACACATTCAAGAAGCTTGCACCGTTCCACGGCAGGAGTTGGGGAAACTGGAGGCGGAGTTGGAGGCAGAGAGGTCACAAAAGCAGATGGTGGAGACGAAGTTAGAGGAAGCATCCAGGGCCTTGGCGTCGGCTCAGGAGCAACTAGCACAAAAGGGCTGGGAGGCTGCACAAGCATTGGCTGCTGTGAATGACGAGATGCATCAACAGAGGTCTGCCAGTGAGGGACGGCACAAGGCCTTAGAGGAGGAAGTCGTTTTGCTGAAGACAAAGCGCGAAGAACTCCAAGCTCAGGCCGGACACACTGGAACATTGGAACATACTGGCACACCATAGCGTCATCCCGTCATCCCGAAAGAGGTTTGTAGCTGCAAGCAGCCCGTTATTTTTAGGCTATGCCCCTGAGTACGTGAGTCAGAAGTCGCTAGCCGCTAGCCTTCCAAGATGACACATGTGCTTCCACAGAGATTGATGCCAGATGTTTCGGGCAAGGTGACCAAGGCTTCAGTGGAGAAGAAGGAACTGGAGTCACAGCTACAGCGCAGCTTGCAGGAGCTCATGGAGCAAGCTGCCAAGATTTTCGATCCGTGGTGCGTTTAGTTCCTTGTGTGTTGGTATTTAAACCGTTGCCCGTGGTGTGCTTCATGATGTCTTCTACTTGTAGTTTGCATTTGTGCAGCCATCCCCGTCTCCAGCTGGTGGGAGGTGCTAGGCTGCTAAGTCTTTAAGCCAAGGATGATCAGAAATCACGCTCAGAGGAAGAAGCAGAGATGGTGAAACTTCGAGAGAAGCTTTCAGCTCGCGAGGATGAGCTGGTTTCAGTGCGATCCCAAGTTGAATCACTGAAGAAGGAGGTATGCTCGCTTGAGGCCAAGCGCTTGAAAGAGCAGCTTGAGGCATCTGGTGCTGAGCGCGATTTTTCGAAGCAGCTAGCCACCTTGAAGGAGGACACTGTGAGACAACGCTGTGAGGAGCGGGCCAAGTTTGATGCTGAGCAACAAAGACTCCGAGAGGAAAAGGATATCCTACAAGTGAGGCACAGGGTGGGCCTCAATTTTGTCAATAAGTTTGTGTGGAACCAAGCATCAGCCAACCATTTGCTTATGCAATTCAGGTAGTTCATTTGCTACTGAATGTCAGGCTAGAGCAACTTGAGGGACAAGCTGGGCAGATCGACTCCGATGGTCTTGGTGAGATAGAACTCCAAGAATTGAAAGATGAGAAAAAGGAGTTCCACCACCAGCTGCAAGGCGTTGCACGTGACCTTACGTTGACGCTCAGGGAGTTGGAAAGCAAAACCCCTGGTGGCGAATGCCCGAAGCAAGTGGAAGCAACCAAGCAAGTGCTCGGCCACTTGCAGGAGCAAATAGCTACTGTTTGTGAGGAGCTCCTAATCGAGCGGCCAACAGCAAGGCAAAAGAAAGCAGGACAGCAAAAATCGAGGGGTTCGTCTGAACATGCGTCGGCCGCATTGACGGCAGTCTCCTCGGAGAATGAGCAGCTCCAAAGCGCTTGCCAGCAGCTGCAGCTTGGTGCAAATCAGATGCTTATTTATTTGGGTCGCACAAGTGATTTGGACGTCAACATGTTTAGACACAAGAAAGTGTGGGAAAAGCCATTTAACATGGAAGACTGGAACAGCACATGACGTAATATGGTTGTTGCCTGGAAGCGTTCTCGCTTGGTAAGGAAGAAGGACTTAGAGGCGACAGAGGGCGAGCTGAGATCCGTGCGCGCGGAGCTGGATGAGATGCTAAAAGTGAAGGATGAGCTGACGTCAGAGAATGATGCCTTGGAGACAAAGCTTCAGGCCTGCCAGCAGTAAGGGCATATGGTGCTTATACATTATACATAGCAGTCAGCAGTCACCAATTATTTCAATTCAAGATTTGCAGATGCTTATATTGCGACTGGCTGGTTGTTGTTGCTTCAATTTGCAGTTTAGAGGCGATCGATCTACGCTGTTGCCTTTGCCATTGCTTTTGACACTGCTTGTCATTTGCACATGCAACTTTCAGCTTTTGGCACCAGGCTGCCGAAGACTCATCCAAGGCAGCTGATGACCTGGCCTCGGACAGAATCTTTGGCAAACAAATTGCGTCAGATTGGCCAACAAGAGCTCCATCTGCTCACGGACTGAACCCCTTTGCAGACCCATAAGCACGCTCTTGCTCTGCTATGTGGCCATGAGAATCACATGTGGGGTTTGCCGTAGGCCCTTACGGATCTGGGAATCAAGGCCTCGGCTTGAGCACCCTAAGGAAAGTCGAAAGCGCTTCTTGAGCAGGAAGCCAGAATCAAGGCACTTTATTCAGCTGCGCTTTGTGGGTTTGATTGCCTGCGATCTTGTTGGATCATTTTCTTTTCGGTGCGTGTTTGTGTTTTCCATAGAGTGCAGGAGTTGGAGGAGCAGCTTGAAGAAACTCAGCATCAGCTGGACCAGGCGCTGCCCATAAAAAGGTCCACTCCCAGAATCTTTAAGGAGAAACTCCCAAAGAGATCCAAAAAACATTTTATGATATTTTGTTGTTCTCCCAAGGCCTTTCGCCTGTTGCTTCACAGCATATGATGCGTCGGAGCACTGTCGAGGCACAAGGCGAGCTGGAGCAAGAGCAGCTAGACGCGGCTGAAGCCTTGGTGTCAGCTGGGCAAGACTTCGATGAGCTGGAGCAGAAAACCGATTCAAAAAACCGGCGCTTGGAGGCGCGAAGCAGACACTTTCAGGGCGCAGAGAAAATTGGGTTCGGCCCATATGGCTATGATGATTTTTGATGGAATTAGTTCCAACACACCGAACAAAGTATTGCTGGGTGGAGTTTCGGAACAGGCATTTGCAAGCCAGCATGACGTGTGAATGCTACCAAGGGAATTGCCAACCTCATCTCCCTAGAAACTAAAGTACATCCTTGAGCCAACTTACAACTTGTGGTTGAATTTCACGTCGGCTGGATAGACAAGTGAGCCTGAAGCCGGGCTGGATTAGTCAATGCTGTCAACACCAGTGATGGTCAGGAATATGTCTTGGAATAGGTGAAAAAATAAGATCACCTTAGTTTTTTTTTTTAAGCGTCGCATGCTTGCAAACGCTGCAAACGCACAAACTTGTGAGCAAAAGCAACCGCCTGTTCCAGGCACAGCTGGTCGAGGTCACGGAGTTGCTTGCCACTGCAGAAGAGACGGTGGAGGCGCTAACACAGGAGCGTCTGTGTTTTGTCATGTGTAACTGTGTAACTAGCACTCCGCATAGAAATCGCCTGTGTGCATGTATTGTGCGGGTGGTGGGTGAACATTTCGATATTGAACCAAATCATTAGTGCGAGCGCTTCTTCAAGGAAGCTTCCCCCGCCGCCTTTAGGGCGGCCGAGGGAGCTTCCCTGAAGAAGCGCGAGCTATCCTGTGTCCACGTTGTAGCTACTCAAGCTACTAGCTTTCTAGCTACCCCCCAAAAAGACTAAAACATCATTTCCATTAAATGGATGAGTCGTCCCACGAATCTAGCAAGACTGCAAGAGATTCAGCCACGAGGAGTTGGAACAGCTGAGGGCTTCCAGCAGCGCGCAGCTGGCGGAGAATGACTCTTGCATCAATTGGCCGGTGCATCAAATGCCCAGAAGAGCATCAGTATGAACAATTTGCCGGTTATTTTCTTCTGTCAAGCTGCACATGTTGAAGTTGCAAGCAGAAGCATGGGGAGGGACGTGAAGGGGTTAGAAGTTGGGCTCGGTTGATGGCCAAACAAGAGATCAGTGAAAAAAGAGAGAGAGAGAGAGAGACACACTTGAAAAGGAAAGCAAAAGGAAGGAGCTGGAGTTCCACCTGGAGGACAGAGCCGGGAACCACTTTTCCTTTTTGGTTCGATGCTCCAATCCACCGTAAAGGCAGAGAGGGCTGAGAAACAGGGAGGAAAGCCAAGTCAGATCACATTGAGCCTTGTTTGTGTGCAAGATGGTACTGTATATAACCGGCTCACCTCTATAGCTCAGTACAGTGCAGGACACTGAGCAGCGCTTGGCGCGGGCACAGGATGATTTGTCCCAGCGGTCGCTGGATGCTGCAGAGGCTTTGACACAGCTAGGAGAGGAGCTTGCCAATGTGTCGCATGGTCGCAAGGTTTTGGACCTGCCCCCTTTTTTAAGATGATCAATGAAAATGCACTTCCGGAAATAGTGAGTTCCGCGCGGCGTTGGTGTGTTTCAAGGTTTAAAGCCGGGGGGAGGTTTTCACAATCGGACATAGAATGCTGTCGGAGTAGTTGCACACTTTTTTTTTCTTTGATGGTTTGCCCTTGGTCTGAGGCAAGCGCAGTCTCAAAAATCGGAGACCGAGCTGAGACGCTTGAGGTCACTGCCAGAAGCTCAAAAACCAAGGTTTTGACTTGTCACTCCCTGTCTTAATTTCCAGCCCCTCCTTTGAGGGCGGCCTCTTTTCCGTTTGGAGAGGCACAAGCCCAAACGAGTGCAAACGTGCCCATCTGCTCCTTTTCGCACCCCAGGTAACCGACATTTATAGAATCAATCCTGTCATGGTACAATGTAGCTTTCACTCAAACATCGGCCTGCTACGAAACCAGACTGTACATGACGAAACGGACAAACTAATAGATGAAGCAACGTTCGACTTCTCCAGTGAAAGAAGGACACAAGATGTGCAGAATGTAAGCCAAGCACCAGAATTTTGTTCTTGTAGCCTGAATATTTACATGAACTTGTTTGGGGAAACATTGACTAAAGTTGTATGCATGATGCTACGCGCGCGAGCCCTAATTGCTCTTCCTGTATATAGCTGCTGATCCCCATGAGGCTGGAAGACAACTCGGAGACCAGCGAGCAGTTCGCACCACAAATGATTCTACCTGAGGTTCAACTGAGGACACACCATTTTGGAGGTGTGGATGCACGCATGTTCCAGGACCGTGCTTCTCCCAAGTCTCTCACCAATACAGTCCACAGCTCGGAAGGTGCCTGAGAGCTGACATGAATTGTGCACAATTGTGCAAGGGTTAGTGCCAGTATGTTGCAGGCAGCTTATGGTCGTAAAGTGTCACTTGGCTGCAAACGACCATACATAAGCATCGCAGGAACTGGAGCGCTCAACCAAATCCATGCCGAGTTTGATATAAATTGAAAGCTCTAAGTCAGCAGCTACGTGCTGGTGCTCGGAGCATCAACTTACAACTGTCTCTCTCAGCTTTGACACAGTTTACAGTTTACTATAAACAGTGTGCACTTTGCAAAGTATGCTACACTGCTACCTGCAGGTAGCAGCTATGCCGTGGTGGTGCTTGTCTCCGTGCCTGAGCCTGTTTCACAAAAGCAGGCAGGCACTAATCACCACTAGTCACTAGTCAGTACAAAGTCACATGAGATCAGCTGAGCTTCAGAGATTTCAGACTCAGCTCTAGACAAAACTTTGTAGGTTTGGACATGCTGCAGAGATGTTCCTTCAGCATAGGTTAAACATGGATGCCAAAGCAGTTCCATTTGACATGTCCTTCCGACTGCTTTTGCGCCATGGGCCAGCGGTGCGAAACATTGCATCAGTCTGGCCTGTTGTTCCGATGCGCATCAAGTGCCCGTGACAACGCCGAAAAGGGGGCTATTGGACATCAAAGTAGGCTTTGCACAGTTTTGGTCCAAGAGGTCTAAGCACAACCTACAGCTTGGAACCGGAACGTGACGAGTTGTTTCCAGGGGCGCCATGTCCCAGAAACCTGGCAAGACTCAAAGGTTCATATAAGGGGGCACGAAGAGCTACAATCCTGGAGAATTACTGGACACACTTCAGTTTCTCTGACAAGTGGATGCTTCACTTCAAATTTTTGCTGAGATCGGACAGCGACCTTACAACTTCATTGTGCAGCTGCCAAGCCTAATTGGATCAAACACCGCTGTGAAATCGTCCATTCCTACGATGCTAATCGTGCGACAACAACTACTACTCTCTGCTTCCATTCTCGGCAGCTTGAGCAGGGTTTAGACTCGGTTTAGAGAGGCTGAAGTGCTGAGTGCAAGAATCACGAAAGCGATTCAGACAACCCGTGACAACGCCAAGGATGTTCAGCTCTGCGAGCTGGTGAGGGCCTGCAGACATTCAGTTCATCGTCTTCTCAGGGTTTGGCCCTAAGGAGACTGTCCACATTTGAAGTAGTACTTCAGCCATCAGTATGAATATATACAGTAGATATAGTGGAACTAGATGGGGTTCACTGATGCATTTTTCTATTCCCGGAAGGGACTCGCGGAAGCATATATAGCGCCTTCTACAAACTTCGGCATGAGAACGCTCCACAGAGTTTGGTCACATCATGATATCCATGACACGGGAAGACCTCGCAATCATCGGCAACATCAAGCTGCTAGATTGATACTAGACACAAAAATCAAGTCGGTCGTCGAAGGCTGAACTGTCCAAAAGCTCTTTAGACATGCGCCACAGAGAAGTCAGGAGGAATGCACCGCACGACGAGAATGCACACACACACATCTATACATACCACACCATACCCTACCCTACCCTAACCTACACTACACTACCCTACACTACACTACACTACACTACACTGTACCGACCTCACACAAACCTCTCCTGAAAATAACGATCCACGTATTGAAAATCAAAATAAGGTCCTTGTCAATTCCCAGTGTTGAATATTCTGGGTTGGCTGTGTTGGATTGTCCCACCGTTTGCAGCCAAGGACCCGGTCGGATTTACACGATCTCACTCCCACTCACTTCAAAGCCCTTTCACCAATTTTAAGACACGACAGGTAGGTAGGGAAGGCAATGGGCTTTTCCAGTGGCCACACAACATGTCTATTTAAGAGTCTATTTGCAGCAGATAGGCTCCCTCCAGCCTGGCTTTCATGTATTTCTGTTCGAAGTGGAAGGCAAGCTCTATTTGATAGCAGGTAAGGCTTTTTCTTCTCATGGTTTGGAAAGTCTCTCAGCCATATTTGCAGCAGATTGTGCTGGTCTGTGTTGCTGCTCTCCCCCCATTGTGCTTGGTCTGCCTTCCTTTGAGCGCACTGTTTGCTGCAGCTAGAGCTGTTCTGATGGTGCAGTGCCGCATTTTGGCTTGGGCCTCACGGACAAGAACGTGCCTATCTGCTGCAGATAGTGCTGAATCCCGAAAAGGTGGCCGGCGGGTGTGCCGTGTCGGCCAGCGGGGTGCTGAGTCGGCCGGCGGGGTGCTGGCGATTTTTTTTGATTGATTCTGGCAGCACGGGTCTCATGGAAGGCCTTGGCTTGAAGCAGGGCATGGCACAAAACATATATGGAAGTACTACCATGGATGTTCCCGAACTGCCTCAAGCCTTTGACCCAGCCTCTGCTTTTTTCTCTAATAGCCTCTATGGAGGATTGGCAGAGAGGGGGAAGGAGGCAGGAAAGATGGGAGAGAGGGGAGAGAAGGTTCAACCTCCCTCTGAGCCTCCCCCACCGCCGGGCAGGACAGCTTCCTCAGAGTGGAGGGTGGGAGCGCCACCCCCACCTGATAGTAGGAAGAGGTCCAGGAGCAGAAGGCGAGATAAGGATAGGGGAGAGAGCGAGAGAGACTCGAGGACCTCTCGCTCTAGAGCCGGTAGCTCGAGGCATGTGCCAGACCCTATCGAGTTGGGCCAAACTTCAGGTGTTACAGCAGCTGGGGCATGGGCCGCTCGATGGGGGGTTGCATCCTTGTTGGAGAGCAGATGTGGTCCAGCTCATCTGGTGAGTTTGGATGCAGGGAAGTCAAGGAGCGCAGGACGAGCATTTTTGATGAGCTGTTCCCCTTCGAGACGAGGGAGTACCAAGGAGGAGGAAGTTGCTGAACCAGTCCTTGAGTCGGGGTGTTCCAAATCCGAGGGATTGGGAGGAAATGGAGAGTCCTAAACGCCCGCCAAAAGAGAGCAGAAGTGGCAAACTCTCAGGTAGCATGCCTGCAGCACCTGCTGAGTTTTTGAATTTGAAGAAAGCCATCCCCCCCCCGGAAGGTGCAAGAGTCGTTCAAGTGAGCGCCCCATTCAAGGTGGACAAGAAGCCGCACGACATCCCTTCTCTCGGTGTTAGAACCAAAGAGGAGGAGAGTAAAGCAGCCTTCCGTGCCGCAGCAAAGCCTCCCCCGGTTATTCCAGCGGCACCAAAGGAAGAGGAGCGTGGTAGGGGTAGGAGTAGGCATCGGCGCAGGCGCTTGAGTGCACCAACGTCTGTGAGGGATTAAGAGGAGGCAGATTTATATACAACTGTTCAACCAGGAGGCAGTGGAGCTCTACAGGAAGACGGCCAACAAGTATGGCATCAAGTTGGAGCTGACAAAAGGTGAGAATAGAAATTTGATGGTGAGCGCTTCCACCTTTTGACTGTTCCAAAAAAGCCGCCACAGGTTTGAACTATGTGAGGCTCATGAAAAGGTTACTGGCCTGGAGGGAGGCCCGGCCCGACCTGGACGAACGACCCGGGGGTTTTGATGAAACATTTGGGATTTTTGATTTTGTTGAGTACTTGGTTCAGGAGCAAGTTGGATACATGACTCCCAAGACCCTTTTCTACGCCACCGACTTCTTTGCTACAGCCTTTGGCTTTCAGGCAATGGGGGGGACTGGAGAAGGGCGAAGCGTTTGGCCGACACGTACTCGTCCACCAGGATCAAACCGATTTCCAGGGCACCAGGGTTCTTGGGCAAGATAGTTGGACTTAGGTCAAGATCATTGCGTGGAAAGACAGGACCGCGTGCTTGCATTGCCGCCCTGGCAGCTTTGACGCCTGGCAATGACAACCGGCTCCCCTGTTTGGTCAATTTGTTAATTTGTTGCTTGAGTCCCATGGAGCCACGTGGAAAAGCGACGACCATTGCGGGAAGTTGGCAAGCGATGACGCAAACACTTTTTGCGGAGTCCGGCTGCATTGACGACGCATGTCTTGACGGTTAAGGCAGCCTTGGCAAACCTCCTGGAGGAGGGAGAGGGCATTGGGATGACCTTGGATGAGGGTCATGATGCACCTTGGAGACAGGGCAGTCAGATTCCAGGGAGGCTGGGCATCGAAGTCGGAGAGTATGCCGGATTTGAGGGAGGCCCAGGTTCTGTTGATGGACGCGCAACTCAAGTGTCTGCGTTACCCCAGGGAGGGTGGAGATGGCTTCAACAAAGATGGCTTTGTTGAAGACGAAGTGGTGGCCAGAGCATCTTCAATGACGAAGGTGTGAAAGATGAAGGCAGCTGCTGGGAGAGCCGACGATATACGCTGGATGAACAGGACTCTGAAGGTATGACCAAGTTCTGGATCCAGGCAAAAGCACCAGGCCGTAACCCCAAAGTTCACTTACAAAATGTGGAATGTCTCAAAGCGGGGGATTGTGAGTGCATATGCAGCCACCTTCACCTAGGAAAGAATGTAGTTGTCAGTAGGTGCACGCGAAGGTGTGGTGTTAAAGGCGGACATAGTGACCACTACTTTTCGCTCCACACAAAGCCCAAGCGGGAGGGGCAGAATTGAGTTCCTGAGCGCGCCGCACACTTCCTTGGAAAACCAGGCGATTAAGTGCGAGATGAGCAGGTATCGTGGTATCCACCTAAATGGCGAGAAACCATGAGGGTCCCCAGCACCAACCCAATCCGAGCAATGCTTGGGACCGCCATACACTGCAACAACGCCGGAGCACTTCCGTTCTCAAGCGCTGAGTTTGGGCATTACCACACATGAAGGTTTGATGTTAGGGTTCATTCCGGAGAGGCCCTTGAGGAGTTCCTCCGGTCCGGGATGTTGTGAATCCCAGCGCCGGCTATCAGGATCAAAGTCGAGGCCTCGTGACCTTCAATCGGCCCCCCCCCCGTGCCGTGGCAAGGCTTCAAAATGTCTTGCATCGAACGAAGGCGCCCGCAAGGTGAAAGTGAAGCTTCCTTCTGCAGTCACTATGGAAGAAAGTGTCATGGCAAAAAGGATGCCACGTCCGGTGTCGGATCTTTGCCCTGACAAAGATGGCAAGGAGCCTTCTTGGGCCTGGGGCCTGCTTCGAGTACGTTCCATGAGAGGTCTTCCTTGCGCTGGACGAGGAGGGCGGATGTGAGAGAGCGGGGTTCATGCCCAAAGCAAAGCGCGAAGTGATCCTCACCATCGACTCCCAGGTGATTGTCCGAGAAAAGGACGAATCAAGCTTCTTGGATAAGGCAGTGCCGGACTTGGAAGTGATGAGGAAGAGGTTGGAGATCCGAGCTCGAGCAGCAGCCATGCTCGAGGTGTGCACTTATATGCTTCGTACTGGGCCCTACATGATCGCTCTTTCGGAAGGATCCTAGGCGAGGCGCGAAGGCATGCGCCCCCTGACGATCCAAGAGGTGAGGCGCTTCGACGCGACCCCTCACCAGGAGCTGTTGAGATGGTTGTCGAGGGAGGTTGGTAAGCTTGATGGTGGATTGAAATACCACCTAGAGCGCCACGAGTTGCACACTTGGAAGTTGCTTGATCCCGTGATGAGGGGATTGAGAGGGGCATCAAACGTGACTCTAGGGAGAGGAAGGGAGGGGCGAGCCTGGTCAGGATCCGCCAGACCAAGAGAGGTTGATCCTCCTCTGTTGAAGTGCCATCAACGGCGCTTTCCGTTTTGTAAGTTGCCCCCCCAAAAAAACTAAGGCAAGGAAGCAGGAGGCTGCAAAGGCCAGGGCTGAAGCTGCAGCTAAAGCCAAAGCAAATGCCGAGAAGGGCGAGAGACCCGCCGAAAAGGCACAATAGGAAAGGGTTCGGCTCTTCCGATGGAAAAAGGCCCTTGCTGCTGCCGGCTCGTCATCGTTTTCTCCGAAGCGGTCGCACCTCCTGAGACGAAGGGGAGAGTCTTTGAACCGTGGGATTGACTTCGGGGAAAGTGCGTTTTTAAACATAAGACCCAACTTGATGACACTCTTCTTGAATGACTTCTTCGGCGTTGGGCGCTAAATTGCGAAACCTTTTCAAGAGCCAGGGAGATACCAATCCGCGGGATAAAGAACGCTCCAAGACCAATACGGAGCGAGTTGTTTCCAGAAGGTATACCTTCTGAGTTATAAACCATGAACAGCAAGGCGAGAAAGAAATTGGATCATAACACCTCTATGGCCGGCATGGCTGCAAAGGATTGTTTGTGGGCGCATGAAAAATGCTTTTCTCTTCGCGCTTGAACACCCAGCCAGGAGCATCGCGTTCCATCTTCCAAGTTGGAAAAAGCTCCTTGACTGCAATGGGGTGAAGGTCATCCGTTACTCGACTTGCATGTTTGTTGGAAGCCGAACCTTGGTTTGTAACCACGAAGCCTTCCAGAGCATAGGGCTTTTGTGTTGTGGAACCCTGGGCAAGCGCACTGGTGAAAAACATTTGAAGTGGAGACCGGTGACAACAGGCGCCTTTTTGCCAAGAGCACGCGAAGCTTGCGCAAAAAGTTTTAGGTGAATCAGCAAGATTCGTCGAAATCTTTTCCGGGCCGAATGCTCCTCTAAGGCTCTAAGGAGGGAAATTTGTGCTGTGTTTGACGAGCCTCTAAAAGGGGCTAGGATTTCAACAGACAAAGGTGTCAGAACAGAGCTGCGACGGCTGTCTCAAGTAATCTGTGATGGTTGAAGCAGGCCGCCAGCCTAGATACGGAAAGCGAAATCAACTTATCCCAGATGGTTTGAATTCGGCAGACCAACATTTCTGGATGGCCCTCGAACTACAACACCCTTTTTTGTGAACGCTGCCTCTTTAAAGCAGGATCACGTTGACGCGCTTGGCACCACCAGACTTGACCCAGGCGAAATGAACAGGAGTAGACTCAGAGTTCTGAGTGAGTGTAGCGAGGAGATGCTTGAAATGCAGAACGGTCATGAGGAGTTGGCAAGTGTGAATGCCAAACGTCTGGGTAGAAAGCCAAGGACAGCGCTTATGCAAGTGCTGGGAGGTAGACTGGGGATTGAGGACACCGCAGTACCAAGCTTGTGCTTAACGGGCATGCCCGTAGTAGGAACTGCTTTGGAGTCGCCCTTCTTCCTTCCACACCGAATTCCAGCACCGATGACATTGGTTGAACTACTTGCCACAGCCGAGAGACGCAGAGCCGACGCTCTGACAGCAAGGGTCAGGAGACCTAGCTAGAGCCATATACAGCAAAACCCCTGAAGGAGGTTGTGCAACACACCATGAAAGGCCCAGTCTCATTCGAGAAATTGGTAGCGCGCCATTCGAGAAATTGGTAGCACGCCATGGCATCCATTATAATAACCTCATCCCAAGCTTTGGCTTGGAGCAGGGGGTTGATGAGGAAGGGAAGCCAAAGTTTAGAAGGGTTGATGCCCATACGGCAGGGTTGACTAATGTTGCCGCAACACGCGCTCAAAAGATTGGAGTGGCAATGGTTGACTACTCGATCATCATGATCAGAGCTATGGCGTCACGATTTGGTTGTGGTCTACATATTGGAACTGAGGACATGAAGGCGGCATATCGTCAAATCCTCCTGCCCGATTCTCAGACTAGTGTGTCTATCGCGGCAGTATACAGCCCGTTGACCAAAGAAGCGGAGACCTTTGAATTATATGGACAACCCTTTGGAGCGCAGCGCGCAGTCCCAAACTTCTATCGCGTTGCAGAGTGGATGTGTCGTTTACTCATTAGAGGTTATTCCCTCTTGGTAGATTGTTTCTTTGACGAATTGTACTATGTAGAGCGTGATATGACGGCTGGTGTTACACAGTTTTGCCTCCAGGAGACTTCCAGATCGACCCAGAAGTAGCGCGCGTCTTAGGTGTGGCCTTTAACACCTCTGCCTTGCGCTTGGAACGTGCTCTTGCAGTGGAGCCTAAACCCTCACGCAAGGAGAACTTTCAAATTCTGGTAGCCAATATCCTTAAGCAAGGCCAGCTCACACCTAGTGTAGCTGCCAGTCTGCTTGGGAAGTTTGGTTTCTTATGCAACACGTTGTTTGGGAAAGTTGGTCGCTTTTGTACAGGCTTTATTTGAGAACGCCAATATGCGCTCCAAGGGCCTTTTCCGTTGACGCCTTGGTCATCCTGTCTCTCAAGCTCATGAGCAACGTTGTCAGTGTTGCTCCCCATATAGGCTGTGCAGTTTTACTCTACACCGATGCTTCTGATGCGCCAGAGCAAAAAAACCGCTTCGGCTTAGGGGGAGTTCTTATTGACCAACAGCCCAGCCTCCGTGTAGAATACTTCAGTACGTCCCTCACGAATTTGTCGACACTTGGATTCCCAAAAAGGCATACATGGGACAACTTGAGTTGTTGGCCGCCCGCCCCTGTGGCACTCCACACCTAAATTGAACGTCTTCGTAACCGTCAGGTCATCCATTTCATTGATAATGATTCTGCAGCCAGTTCGTTGGTGAAAGGATACTCACCAAAGTTGGATTCCGCCGCCATAGTGGGCGAGTGTTGGATCACCGCAGCTCGATTCCGGATCGGCATTTACATTAATCGGGTTGAGTCCAAACCTAACCTTTCCGGCGCGGCCTGTGCCTCACAGGTACAGCCTCATTTTCCTTCTCTTGTTTCACCAGCTTTGACTCTTCTTGGTGCGAGTGCTACGGTCCCGCTTCCGTAGTCTTAGTGGTCACCACCAAGCACCATAGGGAAACCTGAGACCACCGACACACCGTTGGGAGGAAAGGTCTCGGGTCCCTGGGTGTGAGAGTGGCACAGCGAGTTCTTTGCTGGGTGAGAAGAAAAGCTCCCGCTTTGACCACTGAGGGCAAGACTCAATCCAAACGGAGGAAAAAGCGAAGCAGAGTGAAGACGTTTTCCCAATGTGAAAGTGAAAGTGTGTCGAGTTTTGAATATCCACACTTGAAAACAGTGTGATTGACGGGGTTTTGTGATTTCTGAGTTGAAGTGTCTTGGAGTTGACGTGTTTCAAGACGCGCGTGCCGGGCATGATGCTCCACCCTTTCCACTTCTCACTCACTGGGTTGCCTTGATATGTCATGATGGCACAAACGTGTTGTGATGTTGACCCTGCCTGTTGGACCAAAACGTAGAATGCTCGCAAAATGGCAGCGCACAGGATGAAAGTCTCGGGAGGGCACCTGTTCCGGGAACTTGTGGTTGGGGTTCCGTCGAGCTTGTTTAGGTTCTTGCGATGCTTGTTCAGACCTGGTGCACTTTCACAGGCATGCGGTCTCCTTAGCTTGCCTGTGCAGTGGAAATTGTAGAAATCATTGGAGTTAGATGTGATGTGATTCACAGTTTTTGCGACCTTGTGCGACTCAGAGATGCAACTGCGTCGTCAACGGGAGCATTTCCAAGGAAAGCATTTCCTGGGAGATTTTCCCTCCTCAACCCTTTCCGGGAGTTGATATTGCCATTGACGCTTGGCGTCGAAGGTGGCATTCAAAGGCAAATCCGCTGCGATTGTGAATGCCGAGCTCTCTCCTCTAGATGTGACCAACATTTGGGGATTCTAGTCCATCAGGTTGCTCAGGCTTAGACCATGCCCATGCCAGAGACCAGAGCGTGCTGTCACTGAGACCTGCATCCCAAGTCATCAGAAACGATGGGGCTTCAAAGCTTCGGACCAGGCCTGGCTTCATTGTTTTGCAGTGCTTCATGTAACCTGCAGGTTTAACCTACAGCACTTGCCCGAAATGGATCTACGGTCGATACATACAATAGAGAAGGGGGAACGGTGTTTGTGGCAACATTCCAGTTCATACAGAATGCTGGTGCTCACCTTAAGCCAGTATGAAAGGTCAATATGCATGGACCTTTGGTGGCCCGCATTGAAGAAAGCCCTCCCATGCTTGTCAGGTCGAGCACTTGCTCAATGATGAGGACAGTGCTACCTCTGGAAAGACAGAAAGAGGGAGAGACAGAGAGTGTCAGTACCTCGCAGAGCTCTCTATTGATCAAATTGCAGTCAATCCTTCTCTCTTGTTCTCTTGTCAGCTGCGTTGGGGTGTCGAGTGCGGGGTGAGTGAGAGAATGTGAGAGAGAGAGAGACAATCAGAGCTAACTTTGACCCGGATGAGACGGGAGTAACGCCTAGGTCACTGTAAGACCCATGGTAGACAGTAACATGGGCCTTGGACATCAGAGCAAAAGAAACTGGCATGAAACCTTTCTTGGCTTGCCGCGTATTCAGGCGTGTAGCCATCGTGGAAGGCCCAACGCAGATGCCTTTATTGTTGGCTCGAAACTTCCACCATTTGCTTGAAGGACTGCGGCGTGGAGAAGGCTGCGCTAAACAAAAGGGAGCGGAAGAATTGCAAGGGGTGTCCAGGCTGCAACCATCCATTGGCACTGTTCTCTAGGCTGGAGCAACGGAGTATTTGAGGTCACGAACTGTGAACGTTGGTTTTGTTCCATCTAGCTTTGTTAATGTCTTATTTATATAATGTTGTTGACGTTTGTACACAATGCAAGCCAAATAATAGCGAACGTAACATAATGGTGTAAGCCTGGGAACAAAACCGAACTCCGATTTGCACAGTTCTGCTCAAAACTGATGGGTGGAGGTGTCAAGTTGAAGGCTACCGGCTAGTGTGGCCTCATGCTTGGACTCCTGGACCTCTCAGCTCAGGCTGTATGACAAGCAGAACAAGAGAGCATCATTTCTGGGACTTCCAGTGGCTTTCATGCAGCAGCTTGCAGTGTGCGGCCGCTGTACCATATGCGAGGCTTTTGCAAAGGCACGAAAGCTGTCATCGGAGTGGGTCGAGGGGAATTGTCATGACAACCCCTGTGGGGTTGTGGGTGGTCAACGCAAAGTCCAGGTGCGTGGTTTGTGGCAAAAACTGAAAGCTGCTGCGCAAAGAGTCGTGAAGGGAATCATCAAGGCAAAGCGGACACTCTTTGGTTTCTTGGATTGCATCTATTTTTTAACATCCATGTTGTGTGGTTTGACTTCGAGCTCTCATGAGCTGAAGATGCCGTTGATGTAGTCCCGCTTCACACTTCACAGCAGCTCAGGCTTCAGTTACGCCTCTTCTGAAGTCCGAACGCAGATGAAAGAGCGCTTCGATACCTACTTCCCTGAGGTAAGTGTCACTGACGAGAACAGTGACAGCAGCCTCATGGAATCCTCTGCTGGTTGGGAGGATGAGCATGAGAAGATGGTGCATGAAACCAGGCTGCAGCAGAAGGCTTGAAGCATTTTGAAGAATCTTGAGAGCTCGAGGGTGGGAGGCATGTTGAAGGCGCAATGCAACGGCAGTTTTGATCTTCGACAGAGCCTTTCATACCAAGGATGCTTTGATGAAGCAACTGCAAAACAAACCGCCAGAGCAAGTGGAACAGCACCTTTCTCTTTTGCTCCTTGTAAGCCTGGGCTGCTTTTCCTGACAGCTGCAGATGGCCATTTTGCCTTCCCCTGGCTTAAGACTTCAGATTCTCATACACGTACAGAAGTATATATATTATATATATAGATCTATGCAGAAACTGCCAGTGGAAAAAAAATGGAAAAAACAATTTGTTCTTTGCGGTGTTATGTGGATGTGTCCCGTCCCCTCCAATCGTACTGTCTCACTGACAAGGCAACGGAGGCTAGATGAGGCGAAAGGTCAAGAGGAGGAGTTACCTTTTCTAAATTTGGGGTTGTGTGAGTTGAAGTGCTGTGCGAGCTTCTGAAGGATAAGCGCTAGACCAGCTGCTAGAAGTGTGAGAGTTGATGGAGGCGATGCAAGGTTCATTGAGCTTTTCAGCAATCCGCGTTCAGCAACTAACTGTGTCAGCAACTAAGAGTCAGCAACTACGCGTTTCAGTAACCTTGCACGTCAACCACCTTTCAGCAATTATATACTGTAAGCTTTTCAGCACCCAAGCAATCAGAGCAGCTTCAAGTAGCTGTTTCTTTTGGGTAGCTTGCTGTGTTGATGTGTCCAAAGCCATTATGCTTTGGTTGATCATGGGGTGGGATGAGGGTGGTGCCAACATGTCCTTCAGTGTTAATGCGTCCGTGTACATAATGCTTCGGTATGGTTAGGTCGTGGGTGGGGTGGTGGTGGGGCCAACATTGGATCATGGGTGTGAGCGGAGGTGGGGGCCACATTCTTCTAGCGCCGATGAACATGATGTCCATCCACATGTTTTTTGGGTCGGAAAAGTTTTTGGGCTTATGGGTCGGGTTTTGATCTGCATAATGAGCAACAGAAAAGTTGTTCTTTCCTCCACGAACTTCGCAAGCTTGGTTTGGAGTTGCTTTCTCCTTTTCCTCCACGAGCCTTCCAAGTTTCTGTGTCAAGTTGGACCTAGACTAGACAAAGGGCTGTGGCAGCTGAGAGAATCATTCAGCAAATTCTGCAACCTTGTTGGCGAAACAGACATTTGGGGTTTACCAAAGCATTGGGGTTGTCAAAAGCAGACGTAGTCCGTGATGCTAGTGTTGGCAATGAGGTGGCATTTGTCTGCACGAGACCCGCAAATCAGCCTTTCCGGTTCCATGCACTTTTGCAGGAGCTGCTGCTAAAAGCCCGCAAAGAGTTGCAGAGCAGAGCAGTCAAACAAAGGCTCAAGTCACATCCACACCTCATAGTTACAGTCAAAGACTACTGTAGGTGACTTGATCTTAGTGAGAAACCTTGTGCGTTGGACATAGCGAATCCACTTGCTTTTGCATACGGGGTGCGTAAGACACGTGCCCCTGTCAAGGGAAAGCTTGGAAACGCAATTGCCGACTTTGCTTGGAAATAAGCATTGCAAAAAGCTGGTGTGTCCTGGTATGTCAAGAATGGGAGAGCTTTGGACATGTTCAATTCAATGCACTTCCCCCATCCATTCCTTTATTGGTCCTACATCAGCCATCAAAAGCTGGCCAACTCCCCGTGTGAAATCCAAGGGAGTCGTCGCTGGTGAGTCAAGTGCTCACGATCACCCTCTATGTGGAACTGCCGCACATCGCGCCGCTCGACTTTCAAGCCCTATCGCAACGCCATCCTCCCACAACCCAAGTTTACAAACGCTACTCGTACCTGAGACCCTAGGGTGAACCGTCCTCCAACCACCCCTGCTGCAAGAGCCCTGTCCTTTGTCCTGTCCCGCTCAAGTCTCCGCTCCCTCCCTCCACGGACTTGTCCCGAAGAGGTTCGGTCCATCGAACGGCGATGAGCTCTGCACGTTTCACACTTACCAGATGGGAGATGTCATGATGTGCAGGCCTGCTATTTCTAGTGTTGGAGAGCATGCCAAGAGTACCTGTGAAGCGCTAGTGCTCGCTGAGCTGAGGAATGCAATTCTTGGTGTTCCTTGGCCTGGGCTTTGATGCAGTCTGCATGTCTGAATGCAACTAGGGACCCTTTCTAGATTTTCTCACTGATATAGCTGGAGTCTTGGACTACCAATGAATGAAGTTTTGGAGTAGCTTGAAGTGCGGCTTGGTCCTTCACCTTTGCCATCACAGTTGGTGATGGGGAACCTCCACGGCGCCTTGCACGCGTTGATCCCAGAAGTCTATCTCCACACAGCTCCTCACTTAGGCAGAGCATGCCCGACTCAATGGAAATTCGCTGCCAAAGGGGCCTAAAGAGTCCCCACATTGGTGTAGAGCCGGGTCAAGTGACCAATGCATGGTTTGTTTCTCTAAACAAAACCCAGAAGATCCAAACAAACATTCTTGCAAACCATGTGGGTCAGGGGGTCGCCGCCAGGGGGGGATGTCTCGGCCGTGACAATGAATCAATGCTTGAAGGCCTTGCATAAACAACGGCAGCCGCAACTTGGGAGTGCTTGGCAATGGTTTACGACAATTAGCTAGGGCAAAGGTGCTGTAGTTCTCGGCTTGAAAACCTATATATGGTCTAGTCTGCGGGGTGCATCTATGGTCTATCAGCATGGGAGATTCTAAGGTCTTTCCCCTTATGCAATCAGATTTTGTCAGACAGTTGTGAGGTTCTTGGACTCCTGCACTCATGAGCAGCCGTTGCTAGCCTGTGCAGCAAGGACTTACCAAAGGTTGATGGAAGGCCAGCCACATCCCTTCGAAAAGTTGTGTGTGTTGCACAGGCGTTTCAATTGAGTAGTTTTTTTTTGTTTTTTTTGTCCATATATGGAGTTTATACAAAAGTGGAACTTCTCTTGATGCAGCGTAGGCTGTTCCGCTTGGGGGCGGAAGTTTGCGTACGCAACCGCGTAGGAAAGCATAGCAGTGTCTCGCGTAGGCAGGCTTGCGTAGTTGTGAGTTGTAACTTGAAATGAGTCCAACAACCTTCAACACATGATTCATGATGGAAAGAACAATGGACCATGGATGTTTCTTCAGTTGACTTGCTTGGTGGCTGTGTGGAGCAGTAGTTGAGAAGTTTCAGGAAGTAGCTCTTGAGGAAAATGAGGTAGTTGTGAAATATGGGGGGTTGCATGCTCACTAGCGGGGTTAGCTTTGTGAAGACAGCCTTGCATCCTTAGGTCCTTGAGGGTTGAAATTGAAATTGTGAAGTTGTTGAGGTAACCTGTTCAGTGCGCCCTGCTGAGCAAAAAACCCGCGTATGCCTCGCGTAGGCCTCGCGTAGATGCTCGTGTAGGCCCCGATTTGGTTTGGAAGGGGTTGGCTTATTACCGTGTTTTAGGCTCAATCCATCTGAGCCGTTTAAGCAACCAAGCAAGCAGCAGGTAGTCGTCATTTTCGTTTCTGTTTGTATGAGTCGCGCCGTGAAGACATGGAACGACTTCACGCCCAAGTGCCGCAAAGAGCTTTCTCAGTGTCAAGAGTTCCTAGAAACTGCTTCCCGTACTACATTTGTACTACAAAGTGGCTGGCTCTGAGGCTCCCAGAAGCTGCTTCCCGCACTGCATTTGTACTACCAAGTGGCTAGTGAGGCGACAGCTCCCAAAAACTGCTTCCCGTACTGCATTGGTACAACCAAGTGGCCAGTTCTGAGGCCAGAGCTCCCAGACACTTGTACTACTCCAAGATGTGAAAGTCGATGCGTTTGGATAAATTGTGCGTCCCAGCTTGGGGAAAGATTTTTGGAAGTCGATGCAAAGTTGCGTCCTGCTGGTGTTTAGCAGATAGACCTTTTCTCAGAAGATGACTTTTCCATGCACATAGTGCACACCAGAAATCCAATAAAGCCGCCGCTAGGTTGCAAACTGGTTGTGACAAAGCGAGCGCTGTTGGTGTTCTTACTTCAAGTAGAGGAAGTGGTACCTGTGTGTGCTTTGCAGCCTGGGTTTGTGCGCATTGAAGCCTGCTGCTACTGCTGCTGCCTGGCTGCTGCTTGTTTGCTGCTTGTCTGTTGCTGCTGCTGCTTGTCTGTTGCTGCTGCTGCTTGTTTGTTGCTGCTGCTGCTGCTTGTCTGTTGCTGCTGCTGCTTGTCTGCTGCTGCTGCTGCTGCTTGTCTGCTGCTGCTGCTTGTCTGCTGCTGCTGCTGCTTGTCTGCTGCTTGGCTGCTGCTTGTCTGCTGCAGCTGCTGCTTGTCTGCTGCTGCTTGTCTGCTGCTTGTCTGCTGCAGCTGCTGCTGCCTGGCTGCTGCTGCTTGTCTGCTGCTTCTTGTCTGCTGCTGCTGCTGCCTGGCTGCTGCTGCCTGGCTGCTGCTTGTTTGCTGCTTGTCCGCTGCGGCTGCTGCTGCTGCTGCTGCTGCTTGTCTGTTGCTGCTGCTGCTGCTTGTCTGTTGCTGCTGCTGCTTGTTTGTTGCTGCTGCTGCTTGTCTGTTGCCTTACTGCTGCTTGTCTGCTGCAGCTGCTGCTTGTCTGCTGCAGCTGCTGCTTGTCTGCTGCTGCTTCTCTGCTGCTTCTTGTCTGCTGCTTCTTGTCTGCTGCTTCTTGTCTGCTGCTGCTGCTGCTTGGCTGCTTGGCTGCTGCTTGTCTTTGGCTGCTGCTTGGCTGCATCAAAAGAGTGGAGACATGTCATGGCGGAGCTGTGGCGGATGTACTTTGGTACCTCGTCCGCCACCTCGTCCGGTACCTCGTCCAAGCCACCCCTTCGTTTCCTGCTCTCCAATGGCTGCAGACCTATATATATATGGCAAGCACAGGTCTTTGCAGTACATGGCTCAGCCATCGAAGGCAGCTGCATAGGAAAGGGAACATTGCAAAATCCATTTGATGGTCGTGGCTTGACCGTTTGCTTACTTGAGCATGTGTCTTGAACCCTATTTTTACCACAGCAGCAGCAGCAGCAGATTCAGGATTCCTTGCCGCAGCCTGATTTAGATCTTTCAGGCCGCGGCAAGGAATCCTGAATCAGGCTGCTGCCACAAATCCTCGACAGAGTCGGTTGCTGTGGTTGTGTAGGGATTCAAGACACATGCTCAAGTCAGCCAATGATCAAACCACAACCATCACGAAGCCACACTGGAGCATGCACATGGATTAGTATCAGTGCTTTGGGGAACCATCACTTGGTGGAGTGGATCATACGGCGTCCCATGGTGAACTCAGTCAAGAAACATACCAATTCCTTCGTTTCCTGGTCATTGTTGGATGTGCGTCCACATGCTGGAATACAGTTTTCTGAGGCGTTCAAGTAAGATTAAACGATAGAAACAAACATAGTTTTATCGCTGCGTCCTGATGGTGATCTACATGTTTTTGCATTGACTTGTTTGACTTCCTGAATGCGCGGCGTCTCATGTGGAACTGGCGTGGTTTCTGAAATTGCTTTGACTTCTGCGGGCCGGTGTACCAAGAAACTGCTTCCCGTATTGCATTTGTCCATCTTCCGAAGGTCAGCGTTCAAGAAGGTCAAGCTCATGTGATCCGTGAAGTCATCGTGTAAAAGGCCTCCCGTAGTCGACCGCTTAGATGCGTCGACAAAGCCCTCAATTGGAGTACGATCGCGTAGGCTACCTCACACACTTTTGGCCCTTGGCATAGGCGCTTGCGTATACATTCTCGCCAGCGTGCCAGTGTATACTTCCATGCACCCAAAAAACCACCACTCCATTGTGCCTCGCGCGAAAACGGCAGAGCAGACGTGAGCCACTGTGCACAGGAGCCTTATCACAGCAGTGGTGGCCCTTGAAGCACAACGAGAAGGGGACCACTGTTGGATCAATTGATTTGGGCTACGAGTATGTGCCTTGTTTAGAAAGCTTCAACATGCAAGGAATCGTGCCATTTCCGGTTTTCCTCGTCCACTATGCGGATGAGGATGCGCTAATGAAGTCCTTGGAATGCACAACGCAGGGAAGCTGCCTGGAAACGTCAGTTGTGGATTTGGAGAAGGAGGACACTTCTTGATCAGGTTTTGTTGCGTTTTGTTTTCTTGTTTGCTTAGGCCATGCGGGATGGGAGGGTGGAGACTTCACGCGGGTTCTCCCCATTGGAGTCGTGAGATTGAGAAGTGCAGTACTTGAAACCATGCGCAATTTGTAGCTCCAAGATCTGATGCAGCCGTGCTGTAGATCTTGAGCCGCTGGAGTTGTCAGGAAATAAAGGTGGCAACCCTGGAAAAAGAATCGACTGATACAACAGGGCGCATGGAGCAGTTGCAATGCGCATTTGCAGGCCGACTTTGGAGCTGAGAAAAATATCAACAGTTTAAAAGGTCGGCCGTACTGGACGAACCTCTAGGGCAACTGATCTCGTTTGTTGTGCTGCTTTGCAAAACTTGGTATGCGTATATATGTATGCGTTTGCACTTTCCAGTGCAGCATAGGTATATATATATATATGCATACCGCATGTATATACTCAGCAGCAACATTAGAAAAACCAACCGTTTGTCATGCAGCCAGAAGTTCATGAACTGCAGGCAGCCGAGTTGACACTGAGGACAGGTTGCTGCGCAAATGGGTTCAGAATTTTTAGGATTTGGCTGGGTTGGAGGCCATCGCTATTAGGTTGGAGGCCTGCCAAAATCCCTCAAATCAATCCTCGAGGATGGCGAAGAAGGAGACAAATTGCCCATCGTCACCGATAAGATTTGGGCGGCTGCTTTGGGAGCTTTTGGTTGGACCCATGTGAATTCTGAAACGGACCTTTAGCTGCAAAGATTCGTTGGTATGATTCTTTTGGAAGAAACGTTCCAACATCATATCTTGCAATCTAAGCTGCTTGTGATTCCTTTGCCCCAACCTGAGTATCACGAGTCATGCCCTTCTGTGCTGCCCTTTGTGACGGCTTTCTGTGCGAATGATCTTGGATGTATGGATGCAGACAACGCAGGACAAGGCAGGCAAGCAAAAAGACTGTTTTGAGCACAGGGAAAGTGCTGACATGACGTTGACTGGTTGTTTGAAGAGAGCACGGTGCTGAATTTGGTAAGCTTTCCATGAACATGCTATTCAAGATTATGCGCATTACTTTGTGGCCTATATGGACAGGTGGTTTGAGTGAGCAGTATTGAGCCGCTTGTGAGGCTTCTTGTCGATTGCCGAGTTTGAGTTGGTGAAAAGAAAGAGCCGCGAGCATGTCGAGGACCTGCAGCACATCACAGCAGCTTCAGTGGCCTCTTGGCAAAGCTTCACTGATTCTGTTCAGGAGCGTAGGTTTTGTGGGTGAGAGAGGTGGAGCATCATCAGGATTCTTGAGAATTGGATGAAAGTGCACAGTATTCTACCAATCTGCAAGAATTCTGGTGGTTCGGAGCACAAGAGGTCCCACAAGCGGACTTACTGGTGGTCATCTCACCGCGCAACACCCGTTGTCGACCGAAGGTTTGCTTGTTCGCGGATACAGTACAAGCGCAAGACCATGGTTAGCCTGGTGCCTGATAGAGGTCCCAACAGAAGAATGGACTTGCTCATTCTTCACTTTCCTGACCACCGTGCCGGGAGGGTCAAAGCATGTGAGACCTCGAGTCTGCGCCAAGTTGGTTTGCCAAGCTAGGCGGACAAGACTGAGGAGTTGGACAGGCAACGCGGCATTTCAATACCATTATGACCTGGATTAAAGCTATATAACTCTAATGAATCACACAATCATAAAACAGTACAAAAACATTACACTCATAATGCCAAGAAAAATGCTCAAATAGTACAACAGAACATACAAAAAATGGCACACGGTTCACAATGAGCATGAACACTAGGTTGCTGCCTGACACCAAGAAGCCTCGCATTCCAAAACAACAAACCTTTAGAAACCTTCAGCAGCTTTGACCTAAAATGGAACTTGTGCTAGGTCGTGTGTACTTCAATGTTGTTGGCATCCACTTTCGAAGACACGAGTTTCAAGCAAGAGCGGGACGCCTGTGTCAAGCCATACTCTGTAATATTATAATCCACGAACAGCATATGAATGATTCTTGTTCCTGCTCTTGAGCAAACTTTCAAAAGCAAGAACTGGTTTGCGTTTTGTGCTGGGGTTCCCTGAGGGTATTCGCGCTCCTATTTGTTCATATGTATTTTTGGTGTATTTATTTCCGACTTGTTTGTATTGTTTTCCTATAGTTTTTTTTTTTCCCGTTTTGTTTCCTATTTGTAATTTTTGTTTTTGTTTTTTGTATTTGTCATTTGTCCTACTCTGTCCCTATCGGAAATAGGAACGATGCATTGCTGGCGCAGTCAGTGTCCACACTCTTTTTGCACACCGTTTACACCGTCTACACCGTTTACTATCTACACCGTTTACACCGTCTACATCGTGTACACTGTTTACACCGTCTACACCGTCTACACATGTTTACACGGTCTACTCCGTCGACACCGTTTACACATGTTGACACCGCCTACACCGTTGAAGCCCTGACCGGCGTATCCGGTGTAAACAGCGTAGCCAGCGTAAACAGCGTAACCAGCGTAAACAGCGTAACCAGCGTATCCGGCGTAAACAGCGTATATAACCAGCGTATCCGGCGTAACCAGCGTACCCAGCGTAACCAACCAGCGTGAGCAGCATAACCAGCGCCACCAGCCACCGCCAGCCGCCAGCGTACCAGCGTACCAGCGTACAATCGCTCGCGGACACGCTTTGCCACGTTGCTCGAACAATGCAAAGTCAAGACAACAATAGCGCACATCCATTTTTCCTTGGAACAGCGGAAAAACTACCAAAACAATAAAAACAATGCACGTGACAAAATGAAAAAAGTAATTGGAAGCAACAATAGGGAGATAATTGGATAGATATTCAATGAAGGCCTTGCTATGACCGCTTTTCGCTTGCCGTGTTACTGAGATGACCTGACATTCATTCCTTGTTGCTTTCCCCTGGCTGGCCAGTTGTTACTGGATAGGGCTTACACTCAAAATATCCTAGTCTATTCTCAATGTGCCTCTTGCGTGATGTTTGCTTTGTTGTGCTGGCCCTTGTCTATGCCACATGCGCCCCCCCCCACACTTGGGTTTCAATCAGTGAACAGTTGCCCGTTGCAGTGCCTCTTTGACAAATGTGGTGTTCCCTTTCTTCCTCTGGAAGTGCTGGTTTCGATCGCAGACTGTCCAGTCCGCTTGTGTTTTTGTGTGACTGTCCTATCATTCCTTACTTATCCTGTTTTTTGGTATTGTTATTGCATGTTTGCTTAAACTATACTTCTTAACTTGTTTGGACTTTGCTTCTTAAGCAGCCCACAGCAATAACAATATGATTCGATTTCCTTACTACTCCCCGAGCAAGGAACTACTTTCAGATTTGCTTTTTAATTTCCATCGGTGCACGGTGTCAGCACCTAGCAAAACGAATTCCACCTAATGAAAGGGCAAGCGCGTCATTATTCAGACAGCCCAGCCCTGCACAAACTCGACTGGAACATCCTCAATTGGGACACCAATGCAGAAGTGCTAGGATTCCAGACTTCAGGGGCGGCTTGCACTCTGGCCCATATCAATCAAAAGGGCAGTATACAAATGATTGGCAGACAAAGATCAAACTACACTGTACAATCAGCATTGCCTGTTGCCTGTTTCTACATGTCACATCACTTTGCAAGGATTGACAGCTGACATTTCAGTCAGACAGCATGTTGCTTTCAATGCCGAACATTAGGAACAAGACCTCGTGCATCGAAGACCTAGTGCCAAGGTCGTACGGTTCCCTGGGAGGTGATCCGACGGCGCTACACAATAGAGCTGGGCCAAGCCATGTTCCTTCTGTCGCAAGCAAGTGCGGCTGCACAAATCACCTCTTGTGATGTTCAGGCCAGCGGCCAATAGGCTTTTCTCGCGCTTGACCCCTGGCTTCTACCGTCTTTTCTCCTGGCCCTTCTCTGGAACAAACAGTCAGGAACCAATCTTGCAGTCCGCTGCCAACTGAGTCACTCCGGTAGCAGCTGCGTGTCTGTGGCACCCAAGATCAAAAGGCAAATTGATCTGTCCCATGCCAAGTAGGAGTCCTTGTGGTCGCAGACACTACTAGGCCACCAGTCACCTGTGACAGGTAGCCGATTCTCAATCTTGTGCGAAAGTCAAGTAGAAAATGCGAACTCTCACCGGAGTTCTGGGCTATACTCACCTAGCACTTGAGCCCTTCGGCACGAACCTCAAAGCAGAAAAAGGAAACCCACTTGAAAATAAGAAAACCGGAGTCAACTGGGGCCAGACAAGTCTGATGTTTGGTTTTTGCGTGTGGCGGCAAGCTTTCAACCTCTGAGGCTGAACAAGAAGTGGGATGACATGATGCTGCTCGAGTCTAACTTTTGGGGAGCAGACCAGACAAAGGACGTGTACCATTGGACAATTTGGCTGCAAAGAGGTTTTCCGTTGCAGTGAGATATATGACCTATCGATTGAAAATCGTGGTTTGTCATGTAGCGACCGTAGATTGGCGGCTTAGTTTCTTTTTTCAGGAAGGTGGGAACCAGCTGCGCCGCCATGGAGGATGAGATGACCCTGATCTGCAGTCTGAGTGTTTTGACTGTGGATCAGACCAGGGCCTTGATGAATGCAAAGTGGAATGTCACTCGGCTAGCCACTTTGCAGGGCGCGCCGCGAGGTCTTCGACGCGATGGTTTGGAAGGCCCAGGAGGTGGACGAGAGCTTTGACATCGATAGAGAGATGTTGGTCGACCTGGTGAAGAGGGCAGGCGTCCGTGCAGAGAACATGCACCTCTGGGACGCGAAGCGGGGCGCTCAGGATCTGTTGGATGCCCACGTGGCACACCAGCGACAGACACGTCGCAAGACCTTCGACGAGTTGGTCGAGGCCGACACGACGGCTAGAGTTGAGATGGTTGGGACTGCGAAGAGGGCCAGATGGCCGACGCGACTTGGAAAGAAGTTGCATATCGCTGGAACCGATCTGGCGCTCCGAGAGCTGGCAGAGCGCAAGGAGCGCGACAGGTGGATCGAAGAGATCTGGAGCATTGTGAAGGCGGCCAAGCTGCCGGTTGCACTGCGATCCAGCGACGAGGCATTGATGCTTCGGGTGGCAAAGCGCAGGCGCCCAAATACGTTGAGAAAGCACGTCAAAGCATGGCAGAAAGCATCCAGGTGGTTCTTCGCTACCTATGGTGTGGCCAGAACGTCCGGAGCAATTTGCGGAGTTTCTGGAGGCAATGGCTCAGGAGCCGTGTTCGAGATGCTTTCCCGAGTCCATCTACAAGACCCTCATGTTCCTGGAGCACGCAGGCGAAGTGCCGGAGGCCAAGCAGATGTGCAGAGCACCTTCCGTTAAGAATGCCTTGGAGGAGACAAGTCTGAGGCTGCAAACCATGGAGGTGAAATCGCCTAGGCAGGCGCTCCTAATCCCAGCAGCGGTGATCGTGGGGATGATGTGTTGAATGAGGGCGAGCCCAACTATGGCAGAGTTTATGCATGGTTTCGTTTGGTGAAGCTGTGGTCCGGGATGCGCTTCGATGACACCAAAGGAACTCCCAACAGGACAATGGAGCTGGCTGAGTGGGGCTGCGGGGGACGGTCAAAGACCAAGACGTTGCGCAAAGTTGGCGAACGCTATCGTCAGCCAGGAGTGCATTGTGGAAATTTTGAATTCCTGGGAGAAGTCCCGGACAAGAACCTGTACCACAAGGCGTGCTGGCAGTGTTTTCGAAAGGGGGATGCAGGGATCCCGGAGGAAGAAAGCTCAGGCGAAGTTTCGTCGTCAGAGATGACGGAATCGGAGGATGGTAGCATCTAGCACAGGGCATGAACGACCACGGCAAATGCCTTGTGAGACTGGCACTGCACTGGTAAAAGGTGTGGCGCCGCAACGTGAGAGGGGCGGAGAAGTGTCACACTAGAGGCAGGTAGTAGTTCAGGCACGAGGGAGAGCAGCGGTTTGTCGTTCGCGCATGGATTCGTTTGGACGATTTTGCAGTTGTGTACTGATGTTTGTGTTTGTTTTAAGATTGAGATTGAGTAGGGAGGATGAGTAGGCATGATGCAATCTTTGCAGTGTGCGTGAAGTTGAGCTGATCACAGGTGATTTTGCTGCCGCTCTTTTGACCAAGAACGGGAAGGGCACAACGGGCAGGTGCCGCGCAGAGGCGCGATGGCAGACATCGGCCATGACACTGAAGAGCGGTGCAAGAACGCCATCGCTCTTCTAGACGCTGACCTGCGCGGCTGCTTATTGCAGGTCAAAGAAGTGGATGAAGTTTTGCAAGCAAAACTGTCCGTGGCAAAGGTGAGGAGTATGAGCCGTATGAGCACCATTGCCGACGACAGGGCGAAGATGAGGGCCTTCTGCGTAGACGCATTGGGCTTGGAGGCGGACCGCAATGTGGGAGATTGCGTCACTAGTGGACACATGGGAGTCAGCCTCAACCCGGGTGTCCATCAGGAACAAGGCGGAGGCGGAAGCAGGGGTGTCAAGTTTGCCCAGAGCACTCAACGAGGTGGAAGTGCAGGATTTGCTGGTGACGGCATCAGGTTAGAGGACAGGAGCACTCCGGCATCCACTACATTGGGAGCAGATTTTCGACCAGGTGGAACAAGGCGAGATGAAGAACATGAGCCTGGTCGAGTTCCTCAGCAGAGAGGATGCAGAGGCAGACGTGCTGGGTGCCACCATCGAGAAGGGCACGGGCACCCTCAAGGTGAAGAAAGGATACGGGGAGTGTCAGAAGCCCCGTACTCCCGAGGAGTTCCGCAAGCGCATGGCGGTTGTAACAGCGCGTACTTACTTGCTGGCCAACCCGCGTGAGCGCTGCCGATTTCACGCGGAAGGCTCCATGTCTGTCAGATTTGCTTTGGCAGCCACCCTGCGCACTCATGCGATGGCAGCGGCAAGAAGGACACTGCCGGAGGCGGTGGGGATGGTGGCAGCAAGGCTGCCTGAAACGATCAGCTGGGGGGAACTGCCCATCTCTTCAGCGGTGCAAAGCGCAAGGCCTCTGTGGCAAGCTTCCTTCAGAGCATGGTCTGAAGTGCATGAGATAGACATTCAGAATTCACCAGGCTCAGATTGGGACCTGGCAGATGAATCTTTGCAACGAAAGTTGTTGCAGCAACTAGCCGAGGGCTTCTATGATGTGGTGTTGATCACGCCTCCATGCTCGACTTGGTCTCGTGTCAGGGGAGCCAATTGCCGAGGCCCTCCGATGATACGTTCACGTGATCATCCATGGGTTTTCCATGGCTATCCAAGCGGCACCGACGGGATGCAGATTTGGGCAACGCGTTGATACGCTTCATGATTCCGGCGCTGGAAACTCTGGCCGAGCACCCCTTGGCCTCGTCAGGCCAAGTCGTGTTGATCTTTGCCGAGCATCCCGAGGATCTGGGGGTCATTTATAGAGAAGAAGATGGCGCGCGCATGTTTCCTGCATCTATTTGGCAGCTTCCGGAGCTACGCATCTTTACAGAGCACTCCAAGCTGGCTGTAGTTTCGGTGGCATTCAGCCAATGTTGCTGGCAGGCACCGTACAGGAAGCCTACACGATTGCTTACCAATCTGGCACCTCTCAAGCTGTGGGGCCCGCATGAATGGCCCGTCTTTCACAACGACGGGAGCTACAAAGGTCCGCTGCTGAACTGCAAGTGTCAGCCCTCAGTTACACTGGCTTGTCAAGCCGATGATACGACATTTCGGACCACAGCCACCTCCATATATCCGGAAGCCATGGATAGAGCAATTGCCAGCTTCTATCGAGGGGGTTGAGGAGAAGACGAAGCAGCAGAAGGTGGCTGAGGTGCGGCAGAAAGCTGTAGAGGAAGAGGGCGCTGGTTGGGCTTGATTCGTTGCCTTCGACCAAGCAAGCTGGCAGACCGGGCTGGGGCCCTCCTATGCAAGTGAGGTACGAGGGTGAGACAAGGTCCTTGCATGATGGAGCTGGTTTATGTTCGCCTGAACGCTGACCAGTCCACAGACGCAATGACCCTGCATCCACAGGGGCCAAAGACTTGATGAGATGGTTCTTGAGAGCTGTCGAGGACTGGTTGAAGCCCGAGGGCGAGGAGAAGGCCAAGGCTCTGTTTTGGGCAACAATGGCTGGAAAGCATACAGCGTTTGGTGGAGAAATCTACGGCTTCAGAGAGCGGCTGGATCTGTGGCTGCGTGAGAGGGGGAGAAGCCGGAGAGGAGGTGCTTGGACAGGCGGACCGAGATCAATTTCAGTGGCTGAAGTTATGGAGGATGTCGATGCGGACTTCTTGGCGGAGGTGGCCAGTGAGGGTGTCAGCCTTGGTGTGGATGAGACGCCGAGGACGCCAGTGGTCTATGAGGAGAAGGTGAAGTGGACAGTCGACCCGACAAAAGGAGTTTCATGACACGCTGGCTGAGAACTATACACCTCAGGTGAGGAGAACCATGAGGACATTGCTCGGCAGGCCTTGGAGGAGGCTGAGAACGCCACGATCTTGCGGCTGACGGAGGCGGAGGCCAAGCAGATTGGCGGTGGCTGCGTTGGGAGCTGCGCGGCGAGAGGCTGATACACGATGGCACGTACACTGTGGACGTCAACAGACGTATACCGGCGCGGGACTGTATGCGTTTTCCGCTCATTGACGATGCAGCGGCGGTGCTCAGGCAGATCGAGGAAGAAAAGAGAGAGCGCCAGGAGGTGGTGAGGCTGTCCGTCCTCTACGACATTGCCAGGGCCCACAAGCCGATTCCTGTTCGAGAGCGCGATTGCGGTCTGCAGGCCTTTCGGACCTTCGGAGTCGCAAGCGCTGCGTACTGGTTTGGGAGGACTATTGGAGTGGCGGTCCGATGCGCATTTGGGCCGTCGCGTGGGAGTTCTGCACCTTATGTGGCTTTTCATCTATGAGCTTTTCGAAATTCTTATTACTTGGAAGAAGGTTCGAGGTGGAGCACAAGTCGATTGGATCGGATACCATTTGGACGTGGCTTCTTTTCAAAGAGGCGTCAATGAGTCTAAGAGAAATGAAGTGGATACAGAAGTGGGTGGACGAGAAGCTGGCGGCTGGGGGCATCGTGGGACGAGAGTTGAAGTCAGTCCTGGGACGACTCTCGTTTGTTGCGGGAGCTCTCAAGCATGTCCGACCGTTCCTGGCACCGCTTTTCTCATGGCCGTCCACCCTGGCAGGCGGCGCTTTTGCCGTCAATCCTGCTGGAGTAGTGTAGTGGACATCTTTAGAGTGGATGCAAAAGCTGCCGGAGAAGAGATAGTCATAGGAGGCTGGGAAACATGGCGACAAGCTGACCCTCGGCTAGCCAGGTGGTTCTCCTTTTCGTTTGACGCGACGGAGCGCTCCCTGGGACTACATGAAGGGGGACCCTGGGGACCCTTTCAGGGCCATAGCAAGCCTGGAGCTGATCGGTGTTTTAGCTGCAGTGATGGTATTCTCCCCTGGCGCGGAAGGGGCGACAGGCGAGTCGAGAGTGACTATGTCTGCATTGACCGACAACCTCGCGAACGCGCATGTGCTCAGAAAGTTTGGCAGCAACAAGTACCCTTTGAGCATAATTGCTATCAACCTAGCATCGCAGCTGGATCGGCTTGGGTTGGAGCTCGATTTGCAGTGGGTTCCACGCTGGCAAAACCAGCCAGCCGACGACGAGGACTTTGCAGAAGACAAGCGCCTGAAGGTGGACTTCGAGACACTGGGGTTCATAGTCCTGGACAGGCGAACTGAAGCTCGAGAAGAAGTCCAAGAAGGGCCAGATGCGATGGCAGGATCCTTGGTGATCGAGGCAGGGGGGTCGTCGCTCGATGTTCGGTGTTTCCCTCCACTTGTTTCGTCGCGTGTCTAGGGAGAGACGGGGTAGCGCAGGCCTCGTCTAGGCTAAAGTGGGGGGAAGGCTAGAAGAGGCCATGGTAACTAGATAGAGCTCTTGAGATAAGTATTTCAAGGGCATTGGAGGAAATAAGCTGTGGCCATGTAGACCTGTGCGTTGACAGAGCAGCGTGCAGAGAGTTTCACGCCAGGCACCTTGTTCGCGCAACCTCGCAAAAGTCTCCTGCGTGAAGGTTTGTGAGAGAGAGAGAGAGCATATATAAAAAGCAACTGTCATAAAGCCACCCAGGTCCTGCTTCATATTTTTCTATTCTTTCTGACTTGAAGATGGCCTTGAGTTGTTTTCTTCAAGCTTTGGTTCCAAGGTCCCCCCAAGGTCCCCCCAGGTTTTTCTCAGCATCAACGGACCGCGCATCACGCGGCGTCTAGGAATTTGATGTGGCAGACTGCGAACCTCACCAGCAAGGTGCCATGGAATGAATCACATTGAAGGACAAGCAAGGACTGTGAATTGTTTCACGTCCTTGCGCGGGGTGGGTGCAGTAAATACCCTGTGATGGGTCGGCTTGCTCTATCATCCAGTATCATAGACAAACATGTTTTTGCGACATTGCTGCAGGTAGGCCTGCTGGCCACTTGGCCAGAAATCCTCAACGCCGTGGTTGGAGAATCTGAGCACAACGCCCGGATGCCAAACAGCGGGGCTGATTTTCCGGCGGGGAGGATGAAAAAGAGGGACGCCTAAGAGTTTCAATGCCGCCGCGAGGTCGTGAAAATGTTTCAAACCCAGGTCAACTGGCAAGCGACCATCAAGTACTGGGAGTGACCCGGCATGCAAATCGGCAAGTGCGCAGAGTGGTCGATTCTGGTTGATTGTCACCGAGGAAGGTTCTGCAGATGGCCTCAGCGAAAATGCAGGTTCGAGCGTTGGAGAGGCAGCGCATGGGCCAGGATGCCTCTCGGAGCTAAACTAATTTTCCGCAAAAGACGTTTCTTTTTGACTGGAATAGGTTGCGCGAGCCTGTCTCGGCACCAGCACTTCGAAGATATTCCACAACACGGCAATATTGGCCTTACAATTGGAACATTGATGAATACACGTTGCATGATGTTGCGCGAATGAAGATCAACTATAGGAGGCTTGCCTCCTTGCCTCATGCGGTTTGATCACAGTTTCCAGTTGCCAATCTCAGGATCGCAACAAGTGGCTTGATTAATTTGACAGTTGGCAACCTAATTGTGCAGCCCACCAGATAAGACTTGCAGAAGGCAATGAACTCCTTTGCACACGGACCTGATTTCCAAGCATCAGTGTTTCTAGCTTGACATTTAAACACTTTGATGACTTGGATGTGCTGCAAGCTTTTGGCATTTGATACGAATCTTCCCTGCTTAGGCAGTCCATAGCGGCGGTCTTGACTAACCTCCATGGGATTTTCGAAACCAAGTTTTGCTCTCCCGGGGCCTTGGGCAAGTTGAGCTTCGGCTGTTCAAGAGTTTGTGTTTCCGAATGCGTGGCGTAGCGCAGAAGGAGTTTTGTTACTTGAGGCTGAGGGTTAGGGGGCGGAGTCAGGTTCGCTTCTTGTTCTGTGTAGGGTCTCGCGCAAGCGTTTTGGAACTGTTCGGGTGTGACAGATTCCCCAATTCGTGTCAACCAATGTGTGTGCACCGTACCCCTTGGAATCATGGGAGTCTCTTTACTTTCAATTTGAACTACTGTAAATCATCTAAATTTGCAGGGGAGGGATGGGCATACTTGAAGTCACCGCTCAACGAAGAGATGCCAAGTTGTGCCCCAAGTGCAAACGATGAGGTGTGGCTTTGTTTGGTTGGTTCCCTTTTCATGGTCAACGACGCGCTTCTCCGGCTTTCTTTCCATGTCTGTCTTTCCTGGCTTCAGGTCTTGGCGTCCCATTCCTTCCCTCTCTTGCGTGCGTATCGTCTCGGCCTCTAGCGCGCTCGTGTGTAAACCTTGCAAAGCCAGGCTGCCGGTACGGTACAATGAGGTCTGCTCATCGGTTGATCCTGTGCATTTGGTTCGCCCTTGCATCTCCTTGACAGAGATTAGACTTTTTTTTTGGGTTCCGTGTCCCGTCTAGCGCTGTACAATGTTGATGTTCCAGAGGAGTACGCTGATGCTCACTGAAGTTGCGACCCAATCGTGTCTCCAATCACGGCTGTGCCACAAAAAGAAGCTGGCCACGTTTTCCAGCAGGGCTAAGCAGTCAGAAATGGTGACCTCGTTGGAACTCTAACCTGCTCCTGAGCATGAGAAGCTGTCCGCTGTCGTTCGGGGAAACGCCGCCCCGTTCCTAGGCCCGTGGGAAAATACAATATAGATTGTAGCTGTCGTGTAACTTATCGTCGATTCTGACTCTGATAGCGCGGGGCTGAACAGATTGTCGCCTCCTCCGTCACTTTTCTCCGAGCTGTCAGACCAGGGTGTCGGCCTTACTCCTCATAATTGGTTGGGGAAGTACGTCGTCTCTTACCCCGGTCGGATGGGACCGGGGGACATAATTGCCTCATGGTTCTGAGACTTACATGGGGAGGGCGTTGTGGGTTTTTCTTGAGCAGATTTCCAATATGTAATGTATACGCGGACTGCCTGGACAAAAAAGAGGCTGTGATGAGTCATTGATATGGATCTCGGACGCGGAATCCACGTACCCGCTCTGACATATCTTAGCGCACGGCTAAAGCTGAGAACCACAGACGCGTCATGACTTGCTAGACGGTGTCGGCCTTGAGCGTGCCTTGACTGATAGGAAATATATAGACTTAGCAGGTCACCCAACATTCCAACGCCTCACGCCCATCCACGACGTGTGTGTGTGTGCCCCTTGTAGTCACAGGCATTCAGTTGAATTGTTTCTTCAGCAGGGGGCCAGGACTCCCTGGCGCGCGTCCTGGCCAACGAAGACCGCGCGTCAGGGAGGTGAAAACGTACCTGCTATTGTTAAACTGTTGATTGGTTGCTGTGGTCCCTTGGTTTGTTTCATGGTGGTTCATGTACCTGATGTCGTTCCAGGAGGTGTTTAGGTTTTCAGGTACTTCATAGAGGGCTAATGCACGTTTCGCCGTCATCCTGTCGCTCGTCCGTTTTTGTTTTGAGCTCTGGAGATTTTTAACTTACCTGAACCTGGAGATGAGTCACAGTCCTGCACGCGCGTCGTCAACCTGTCGCGTGATCGTCGATGCTATTGGTTTGGTCTACCTGTACCCTTAGGAAATGGTAACCTAGGCCGTCGTGTGGCACCGCTGTCAAGTCAGTACGCATTTCCATAAGTGTGTTTGGCCTCGTGCCAACCCGGGATGAGCCCGTAGAGTGCCTCCCGTGGACCCGTCGAACGGGGGTTTGTCGTTATCTCCCCTGCCCGGAGATGTAAGTGTCCGGAGCGGACGTTCCAAGTTGGCTCATGCCTTTACGTGACCGCAGCGGTCAGAGGTGGCCGCCCTCGGGCATGCCGTACGCGGTCGCAGCGACCGAAGTTTGTTCAAGGTTCATTGGAACCTGTCGCGAGCTTAGTCCCCCCTCCTTCCCCTTCCCTCCTGAATGGAAGACTCAGGATCGCCCCTTTCTTTCTTTGGTGTGTCCCTGGACGATTGTTCGTAGCTGGGAACACCTGCCTTTTCCTTTTCTATCATCTCCCTCTCTTCTTTCTTTCTTTCTTTCTTTCTTTCTCTCTTTCCTCTCCACCTTCCTTCCTCCTTGGGTGTCCCTGGATGCTTTGTCATAGCTGGGAACCCTTCTCCGCTCCTCCTTTGGTGTGTTCTTGGACGCATGCGTCGTAGCTGGGAACACCTTCCTTTCTTCTCTTTCCTTTTTCTCGTCTCTCCCTACCCCTCCCTCCTGTCGGGACCTTAGCTTGGGTTGCTACTAGGGGCTCCTGGCCTTCCTGCTATAGGTGCTAGGACGCTACTTTGACGCTACTAGAGGTTCCTGGCCTTGCTACTACTTTGTCGATACGCCTCCCCTCAAAAAGGCGTGTGTGTGTGTGTGTGCCCCTTGTAGTCACAGGGATAGCCATGCTATGGGGTCGTCGATGTGTTGAAAACAGCAGCTGTTTCCAGATTTTTCTTTTTGTCCCGGTTTGTATCTTGCTATTGGGGTCTCCAGCTGTCCGAATTTCTTCAGCAGGGGGCCAGGGAGGTGAAAACGTACCTGCTATTGTTAAACTGTTGATTGGTTGCTGTGGTCCTTGGTTTGTTTCATGGTGGTTCATGTACCTGATGCTGTTCCAGGAGGTATTTAGGTTTTCAGGTACTTCATAAAGGGCTAATGCACGTTTCGCCGTCATGCTGTCGCTCGTCCGTTTTTTGTTTTGAGCTCTGGAGATCTTTAACTTACCTGAACCTGGAGATGAGTCACAGTCCTGCACGCACGTCGTCAACCTGTCGCGTGATCGTCGATGCTATTGGTTTGGTCTACCTGTGCCCCTTAGGAAATGGTAACCTAGGCCGGCGTGTGGCACCGCTGTCAAGTCAGTACGCATTTCCCATAAGTGTGCGCGCGCGTGTGTGTTGGGGTTTAAAAAGTGCAAACACCATTCCGATTGTGTAGAGTGGCGCAGATTTTGTCCATGAAGGCGTGGGCTTGTCACCCTCCTGGCAGGCAAAGTGTTTTGGGTGTGTTGGAGCCCTTGCACCATACGTGACTGGCGCAGGGAATGGTAAGGGAAATGCACTGCACGCATGCAAATTGCGCTGTAAGGGCTGCGTGAGGTTGGTGAAGGAAGTGGCGCGTTTTCAATGCTGGTGAAGGGCCCACTTTTACGCCTAGGAGAGGCAGGCATGTAAGGAGGCAGCCAGTAGCAAGTAGTGTGTGACAAACAAACTAGAGAGAGGCTGCAAAGGGGTAGGTTTTTTTTCAGGAACCTCCTCTCGTCCTCCACGATTCCTACTTTTTGGAAACCTCACCGCTTTGCTTGTTTGCCCCTTTTTGCACATGAGGAGCGACCAGGACATGTTGCGCTTGGGGATGACAGATGACGCATCTTTGGCCAGCATGGATAGTCGATGCTTTAGACCTGCGTTGTCAAGACCAAGATTGAGAGTTAATAAGGCAGATGAGAAACTGTTTGAGAACCCAGTCAGTGGAGTTGGGCTTGTTTGACTCGGAGAAGACACAACGTCCTACAGTAGATGGACCAAATATTCAAACCCATGTATCAATAACTGTCGCCAACCCCTGACCCCCAAAGGTCAATGTTGAACATAACTTGATTGAATTTGCGTTTCCAGGGTTTGATTTGTTTCGTCCATTCGCCGAAACATTCTTGCAAGACCTCTAACATTGAGCTTTGGGGTAGGAGGGGTCCTCGTGGTTGAAAGGGTTTGAATATTTCGTCCATCTACGGTAGGTCTGAAGACGTTTTTTTCTTGGTTGGAAGCAGATGTGCTTTTACATCGCAGGTGTCTCATAAAGCTTTCAAACATGTTTTGACCCTTCCAATGGCCCGGCTGACGTAGGTGAATCTCCAAAAGCCATGTCAAACCTAAAAAGCTGGTGGGAAGAATTTGCTTGCAGTTTTGCTGCAACTTGTGGCACCCAGAAAGCTGAAGCCGTTTGTTTTCAGTGTGGCGTTCCATTCTGAGGTATCCCGCCTGATTCTGCAAATGGATGATATGACTTCTGTCGTGAAGAGCCTTGGCACCAGCTAGGTGATGCAACCAAAAGCCAGTGTAAGCAATTTCATTGTGCCAAGACAGGAAGGGCTCTTGGAAAATCCTTTCCTAGAGTAGTGCCACGCCGTGCCGAGCGGCCGAACTCAGCCAAAACTATATTAACTATATACACTGAAAGAAAGAAGTCACTTTTCTTCGAGGGATAGCATGCACGAAATGCGTGTCCCACCGGAGCTTTGAAAGTCAGACTGCCTGGCCTCTCCTTCGCCAGCCTTGCTCGTGGAGGGAGGCGAGGAGCCTGTTTTGCGCCCACTGAAGCACCCGAACTTGAAAGGGGCAATTCCACTACTTCTTATTTTTCAGATACTTCGAGGATAGTGCACATACGTACTATATATCAAGACATGGGGAGTCGGACCCCTTGAAACTCCAGAATAGACATGTCGCCGTGATTGGGTCGCATGGGTCCTCACAACCAAGGAGGTGGAAGCAATGGACCGTCTTTAACATCAAGGTGAAGGCTTCGAGCAGGAGCGCAGAGAATTCAGTCTCACGCACTTTAATGCGGGGGCTCTCCAGCCCCTCCAATGAAGCCATGTTCTTGAAGGAAATTTCTTAACAAATTCAAGAAGAAGGTTAAGCGAGGTACTTGCGCCTTGTCAAACTATTGCCGTGAGAGGGTCCTTTGCGTTCCAGGAAGGCAAGTCTTGAGTTCACCCCTGTGCGTTTCGATCTCATTCTTGAGGTAGCTGCATGTGCTACCGGAGCTGTGGGAAATTGAAGGCTTCAGCCTCCAACAGTTGCAATGCTGGTTTCCTTGCCGACCCCAGCGGCCTCCGGCAGAAGAATTTGAAGGCCGGACTGCTGGAGTTTCTCTTCGAACTGCTGGAGCTTCTCTTCATTTTTTGGACTCCTCAGGAGAGAAAATTGATCACCTTCTGGCCAGATAAGGTCGTGGTTGACCGTGCTTCTTGGCAGGGCTTTCTTGACATCATGCTAGATAGGCAGCATGCCTGTTTCACTTCGCCACCTAGGTTTATGCGATTGGAGCCGTGTACAAGAAGCCACAAATGCAGCTTGACCTCATTGACTGTACAGTCATTCCCCTTTGTGAACCATCTTCGTGAAGGTGAAATGGAGTTTAGGGAGGGGCACTATAGGCAGCTGTGTGCGGTCTATTCGTCCTGTTGACTATTCCTTTTATTATATACGCGCTAATGATTTCAGCAAGCTTTCTTGAGGACCATCTACAAGCTGGTTTCGCCTGGTGCCTGCAAATACCGATTTGAAATGATGGGACAGATAGTCTCGAAGCTTCTTGGATAGACACACATATATATATATATTTGCCTTCTGCCAGTGAGCAGTTTGAGAACTGTCGATGAACTCCAGAGCGTACAACCTGGTATTTTTCAGTGAACTATTTGGCGGCAAGTTTGGGCTCCGGGTTGTCCTTTGTCCTGGTTGTGCTCACAAAACTTGTGACCATCTTTGCTAGGAAATCATCATCCAAGTTTGCGACACTGTCTGGCTATATCTCCGGCTGTGATGTGCCAGATTTCATCAAGCTGAGTCCAGGTGCAGCCTTGGCACCTTTTGTATTTGTTTCCTCCACTGTATGGCTAGTCACAGAATGCATTGCCCCATTCCATTTTTATTGTGCTGGACAAGCAATACAATTCAGACATTGAGGCGTGTTCGCGTTCTCTGCACTTTGAAACCCCATGAGAGTCCATGTAATATTGCACACTGAGAAGGACTGTAAGGGAACCTGACACTCATGGAACATCTGGCCATGTGGTGATCACATTTGTCGACATGTAGGGAAGCAAATTATGACGATGCAATGTCATCCGATGCGATGCAATGTCGTGATGATGTTGTCGATGCAGGGTCCATATGCAGCATTTTGTAGGGCATTTCCATTTTTGGCTCTGATGCCTGCTCAGCCTTATTCACTTCGCCTAGCAACAGTGTTGAACCTTATATAACAGTTCAACTGGTGGTGCACGGTTTTGACATTCTTGAAATTGGTTGGAGTATATTATTGCATTTCGGTTGAGCATCCGCCATGAAATCTTGGCTCAAGCCCAACACGCAATGTCCAAAAGGACGTGGAAGCCCTAGGCTTCAGCTGCCACGTCGCTTGCAGCGGTAGCAGGGCCGGTTTCATCCAGGGACCGCGTGTGGCCATGGATATCCCTTCACCTCCTCTAGGCCCTCTAGGCTTTGCTGCTGAAGATGCTGAATGGCATCATGCTGCTGGGCGCGCTGCTGGAGACGAGACCCTTCGCCTCGACAGAAGCCTCGGGCTCAGGAACCTGACGGCCGACTATTTGCAACTCCTCCGGTGGCGACAAGACGACCGGACTTCATCCGTCTTGGAACCCCGCCTGATCTTCATCCACTACGCTGGGGACATGCTGCTCGAGAAGAAGCAGAGAGGAGGACGGCGGGACCACCTCCAGAGTGGGACGGGGGAAATGGAATTCCAGGACTACCAGATCAAGGCCAAGTTATGGTTGAGGACAACCCGAACACCACCTACAGCCAGGGGACCTATGCCAACCTATGCACTGAAGGGTTTGGCAGGCGCCCAGGCGTTCATGCTGCGTTGGGATGATGCGGAACGACGTGTCAAGGAAAAGGGGCTCAATCTCCCGGGAGAATATCAAGGCTTTTTCCTAGTGACCGCCTTGCAACTCACCAGTGAGCGAATCAAGCTGCTGCTCAACTACACTCGTGGCTCCCTCCAGGTCTCGGACGTGAAGGCCTGGTTAAGGATCCATGAGCCAATGAGATTGACCTCGACGTTTCCACACTGGGCAATGTCAAAAAGAAGGCCAACAATGAGATCCATGCCATTCTATGAGGTCACTAGGTAGTCCGACTTGATGTGGAAGTAGTGGCTCTTCCTCTTTGGTTTCTTCTGTTCTCAGCTCCGTTTCTTCATGATTTTCCATAGTGACATCCTGTGGGGGTCCTGGGTTGGTTCTCGGATTTGGTTTCCACAACTTCATTAATTGAGCGCGATCTCTTGTGGAGAGTCGCACACGGCGCAAGCGAGGTTGCGAGCGATGTTGGGGACCTTTGAGGATGCTTTGCTGCTCCTCAGCATTCGAAGAAACCGATCTCGTCCTGGGTGTCCAAGTCCCCGGCGCGCTCTTTTGACAAGAGAGGAAGGGATAGTGGATGACTTAAGCGTCATCCTCCAGGTCGATTAGATCTTCAGGTTCTGCCACATCGATGGGGTGACATTCTGCTTGATGTGATACGTCATCTCCCACCAGAGCTCGCACCGCATCTCCCACAACAAGCGAAATCGGGTGGAACTTCTTGGCAAGCTGCTCGCCAACATCAATGATGTGGGACGCCTGAACGGAGTGAAGTTCCGAAGCATTCAGGCCAATACTTGCAGCATAGATGGTGAGGATGCAGTTAAAGGTGGATTCCGTTGCGCCAATTGCGACCGGCTCACCATGTTGCCAAGAACCCGACTATTATATGTTCACGTACGTGATCTCCATGGCACGTCCGGTTGAGAGCGGAAGCAATCTCCGGATGGTTGGTGAGGAAGCCTGAACGTTTCCGCGTGGGGTTGCCCTGACTGCTGATAAGTCCAAATTGACATTGATCCACTCGTCTAGCTAGCCAAGTAGCTATCACGCCGTTGCACCAAAGTTCTTTGGCGCGGCTCACTCCATGAGCTGGCTCCCCAGGGATGTTCAAACATGTCGCGCAACTGACGAAATTCCACGCAGAAACTGAGGAGGTTGCGAGCGCGGCGCAATTCCTTCAAATGAGCATCAAACATTTCTGCACTGGCATGTCTGGTCCGGATTGAAAGATGTTGTATAGCGTGCTGGACGGAGTACAAGGAGGAGACAACAATGTGAGCCCTGGCCGTTCAGATCTGATGTGTTCGAAAACATGTTGTTCAACAGATCCCAGGCCAATACGATACCAAAGATCTGTCCACGACAAGGGCCAAAATGGTCGAATTGTTTATTGACCCACCATGCTGTGTCTCAACCCGGAAGTCAGGCTACGCTCGCTCACCGCTACCCAGGTCGTCGCTCCTTGCTCCCCGTTTGATGGTACTTGTAGGTCTGCCAAGCCCTGAAGTCCTCTGGGTTGATCATCTCGACGGGATCCGCTCGCTGGAACCGGCGGGCTCCACGAAGTGCAGTGGGCCGGGCCACTCCCTCACGATGGTTTTTCCAGGAAATCCTAGTAGTTCCGCCGGTGAAGGACTGGCCGACGCTGCCGAGTGTGTGTAGCTCCGGGATGGCGTTGCGTTGGTGAGTTCTGCTCCTTGAACTTCTGGTGGACTTTTGCCGCGTCGGTGGTCTCGTCGATCAGGACCTTGCCGCGCTCCTTGCAGGTCTAATTCACCAGAATCCAGCGCTGCCCTGTCGGGGCGTCCTCTTGTGTGGACACTGAGACTGGAACAGGGCTCGGAGCCGGATCGTCTCGAAGATTCTCTGGCGCCCTGGACGGAAGGCACCATCGCGGTCGGCTCCAAAACCTCGTTCTTCCCGGCCTTGATGGCACCCTGAAACGATCGGGTGCGAGAACATGGTCAGGGGGACTTCTTTCGCTTCACTCTCAGTGATCTCCGTGGCCGCCGGACCCTCAGCCTTGCCATCAGACATCTCCGCCAAGGTTGGTGAGCAACATCTCCTGTACTAGCTGAGGTTGATAGGACAGCCAGATGGTGTTAGGTTGGTCGATCATGATGATTCGTGCTGGTCAATGCCAATAGCATGGCTTGACTTTGAGATTCTTGTCTGCGCCCATCCGGAAGAAGTAGACAGTCTCGCCGATGTCATAGTCGAGGATGGGACGTGGACCGGTGGCGATCCTCGAGGTCCGGGGCGTTCTTATCGTCCTTGAAAGGTCTCGCTTCCGATGGATTGACCTCCGACTACACCCCTTCAATGGCGCCTACAAGACGGCTGATTTAAGAGGAGATGGTGAGTAGCGAACCCACTGAGGACGGGTGGGAGGCCATCCCACCACTCTCAAAAGATCACGACTGGAGCTTCTTGAACTAGCGCAGCGACCAGGAAAGAATCAAGAGTGCTCCTTGAAATTCCCTGAAAGATTTCAAGGGAAAGGACTCCATCGAGGGCATCGTCGCGCTGGCTACTGATGACCTACTTCACGGAGGATCTGAACGGCGCCTGGAACGCAGTATACATGGGGGCATGGCTGTTTCGCGGGCAAGGGCTTCACCTCTCCCCGATGGCTCCATTTGGATCGATCAGGAGTTCTACGTGACCTCCAGAGTTCAGGAGAGCAACATCACCAAGGTGCAGTCTGTTGGAAGTGGAACAGCTCCGTGCTCTTCTTGGAACGTTCGCATGGGTGGCAAAGGAGGCAAGAGCAGACCTATAGCCGGCAAGATCGCCTTTGGCAGGCTTTCCCTCGATGTCTGATACGAGATTGCAAGAAAAGCCCTGCCAAAGCTAGGAATCAGAGTGATGCCCATTGCCCAGAGCTCCGGGCCAGTGTGGTCACCAATAAACGCCAGAGAATGGAAGATTCGACGCCGATTGATGCCTAAAGCTCGGATCACCAGTTTTCATCCAGCGTGTCCACTAGAAGGACCAGATCTTCATGACCTACCACCTGACCGCCGGACTGAGATACAGATCAATGGCGCCAAGATGAGTGGACATCGTCATCGAGTATTACTTCCCTGGCAACTTCAACATGGACGGGGAGAACGATCTTCAAGAAACAACAACCGGGACAATGTCTAGACGCGAAGTCGACCCATGGGGTTTTGAGCAACTTATGAAGCTGTACAGTCAAGGGGGAGAGATCAATTTTTCTATGACAAGGAGCTCCCGGAGTCCCAGTGCCTTCGGGATGTGAACATCCTCAGCTCGGAGACACAAGCCTTAGTTCGTGGCCTGGGGTCAGTTCATTGGTACCGAGTGCTCATCCTTGAGGCCAGAGGCCTATCTCAGAATCTCTTCAGCCCGTCAATGGAAAGCCGATCCAAATTTATCTGTGTGACCGTTTCTTTCGATTCCGATACCATCAACAAAGACACCAACCCAGCCTCACAGTGTAAAGACAGACGCACCTCTATCGACATCTCCCTGATCAAACAGGAGGTGCGCGAGATGAATGGAGGGGTCCGATGGATCGATGGAAGGACCATGTTGGCGGACTCCCTCACGAAGGACACCAAGGGAGACTTCCTTCGAGAGGTCATGGTTTCGGGCAAATGGAGCATCCTCGAAGAGGGGGTGGCATTTCAGAGAAAACCGCGCCGAACGGGCATAAACTGTTGTCGGTGCATTTCCGTTGAGCATCTTGGTCAACAGGGCCCGCCATGAGATCTTGGCTCAAGCCTGACACGCCATGTCCAAAAAAAGTGGAAACTTTATATGGTCTGCAGGCTGGCTGCTGGGTGCCCCGGCAGTGTTGTGAGTGATGGTGTGAAAAACGTGATAATGATTTTGTCATGCGAGATGATGCGAGATGTGTGGCAACCAACAAGTCCAACGATGGGCAATCGTGTTGTGTTGTTTCTTTTTTGTTATTGGGCTTAATCGCATGGTCTTTTTTGTTTGGCATTTTTGATGTTGAGGTTGAGCAGAAGTATCGACACCTCGGGGGCCCCCAGCGGGCCGAAAGTTCTTTATTTATCCGATTCGCTCCGCAGGTGAAGACTTGAGAATAACTACGTGGTCTGAGACGCCTGATGAGCACATGCAAACAAACTTTGATTTGGAATTGAGTGCCAACAAACTTGCAGAGGAGTATGACTCAGATGTTTTCGACTCAATGAACTCAGAGTCCCACCCAGAGTCGGAACCAGAATCGGAGGCAGAGTCGGACTGGGAAGAGTATTAACTTGGACGTCTGATGGATGCAGGGCATACAAAAGTCTCCTTCAAGCAATCAAGCAGGTCTTCTTTCCAGAGCTTCTGTGAAGAAAAATCGCCCACCTCCTGAAAGCACAATGTTACCAACTCCTCCACTCCATGTTATGGAATTATGATATTTGTTTGCAAGAGGGACGCGCTCCACACCCAGTTGCAGTTTGCCTTGTGAAGCGAACGACGGCCCTCAAAGGCCTCAATGCTCATCATATGCAATCGATGTTTCTTTCTTTTGCAGGCAAGGTGTGCCTCGCAGTGGTGCATACCATGGCTCCAGGATGGAAGATAATCATACGCGTCAGCCGGCATCACTTCTCACCTTGACATGCAAGACGCGCCAGTGGTGTGTGTTAGCATGATTGACTAGAGTGACTAGAGCAATACACTCATTTTTGGCTCCCAGAACCACATATATGTGAACCTCCCTGGCTATGTGTTTGGACTATATTTAGCTGGTTTCTCCATATGATCTGCCAAGAAGCGATCCACCTCGACTTCTGGCATAGTCGGCGCTTTTCTTTCTGCTAGCTGTGGCAAGCCATGGGCAAGCCCAGTGCTGGCAAAGGCAAGTACGGCAAAAGCAAAGCCAGCCCAAGCAACTCGGCTGCCTGTTTGCGTTCCTGACTGCTACATCAAGGGCAGCTACTCTTGCATAACTTTGGCTTATGTTCAGCATGCACTAACTACTCTTCGTGAGGCAGGGGCAAGGGGAAGACTTTCAGACGAGAGGACCGGACTTTGTTGAGCATGCGCTGCAGTTTTCCATTTGCATACGCACACGTGGTTTTGCTCCACTTTCACCCTGACACAAGTGGCCCGGCAGCTGTTTTCAGGAGGGTAGGTCCTACCCGGATGAGAGTGCCAGGTCTGATGCTTCGCAGCACTCACTGCTCGGGGTCGCTTCGCAAAGGAACTGCCCACACCATCCACACCAGTTTTTTCCCACCAAGCACTCATTCAGATATGTCACTGGAACTGCTGAAGGCCAAGACCAAAAGAGTTTTGATTGGATACAGGCGGCTTGTGGTAGCCACATGCGTGTCCATCCATCCATTGCAGACATCATGGCATCCAACCATGTCCCGAACCCAGAGCCAGAGAGCAAAAGCTCACCATGAAAAAGACCTGCCTCCAGCCATCCACCAATTCATGAAAAATACATCCACAAGTGCATACAGCAGGAAGATTGGACAGTATCTAAACAATTTTGCCAATACACCATTCAGTCAACAATATATCACAACACACTGCCGCAAATGACCCTAATTGGAACTCCGAAAGGACACCAATGCTGCAAGAGACGCTATTTCATTCATCATATGTCTCACATCATCAACTACCAGAAATCACAGAGTTGTTTGCGGACAATATTTTTTCTCGCATCTGGGAGGTTCCCAATCGCAAAGAGGGATTGGAATTTGGCAAGTTCCCACTTTGCACTGGTACAGTGTTTGAGCAAGTTTTAGCATCTGCGGGTTCCAAGGAGTCGCTCAAGGCGAGACTGATCAACAAACAGCGGGAAGGAGGCTGTGGTGAAACTTTGATCCAGTTGTGTACCTTGATGGAGGGGTGTTCTCGGAGAAACCTTGCTTCGCCTTTAGACGTGTTTTGTGCTTTTAAGGTTGCCGGCCGTGTGCTTTTCTGCTGTTCCGTTAAGTCTGTAGAGTTGAAACAAGTGCAATTGCAAGCCCAAGGGTAACAACCCTCAAAAAGGGGCCGTTTGCAAGAAGATGTTCACGTATGATAAGATTGCCCTCACTTTTGACGCGCTGGTGTTCATGAGGTGAGGATGCTAAAAAGTCTTTGCCGCCTGAGCCGGAGCTAGTGACTTGGAGAAAGGTTGACAAACGGGCCAGCTTACTTTCTCGCTTTTCACGCAATTTGCTGGCAAGACGGCCACAGTGCTGCTGGGCCTCTGCGATTCTCGAAACGCGCAGCGCTCTTGCTTCAACACAACATGGTTATCGTCGGATGTTGATGGTGTGCTAAGGATGACAAAGCCACGCAGTTGAGGGAAAAACTGATGCTCCTTCTCCAGCATAGTGTGTGCATGGAGAATCGCACTGACATGATCAATGGTCGGGCTGTGGCGAGAGCAGAGCGATTAGAGTTGAGGAAGCTTCCAAACCCTTCAGGACACTGCCTGCTGGTAGAGAAGTTTCCATTGTCTTGGTGCAAATGAGGCTGAAGAAGCGCAAGTTGACGGCTCATGGAGACAAAGAGGCCGGAAACACCCGAAATCCCATCAGCACGTAAAGGATATGGAAGGCACACCGTTTGATGAGCCTGATGACCTGATGAGCGTAACTTATGTGTGGCATGATGGGGCACGAACCCCAGCTTTGGAGTCCAGGCTATAGCTCTCATAGGGGCTAGGGCCTCGTGCATACACGTCGATTGGTCATTTTGTGCCTGTCCATTTTGACGAAGCCACCCAAGGATACCCAAGGTGGGTCTTGAAAGACGTGGTTGTGGGAAGCTGTCGGTGTTGAAAGGTAAATGGAAAGTGTCTTGAAAGGGGTTTGTAGTGGTCTTGAAAGAAGCGGGTCTCGAGAGAGGGCTGGGCTTGGAAAGGTGGCCTTGCAGGAGGCTTTTGAAAGAGCTGGGTTTGAGGCGGCCTTGGAAAGATTTGGAAAGGGGTCTTTAAAAGGAATGTGGGCAGTGGCCTTACGCGGCCGTTGCCACCCATGCCACTGCGCGCGCGCGCGCGCTCGCGCGCGTGGGTGTGCGTGTGTAAGCCTTGGAGTCACAGGGATCCTTTTGGATTGTTTTTCGCCTTTCTATGCCTTTGTTGTTTTTCAGCAGAGGGACCATCCATGTACTGTGCGCGATGGTCCAACGAAGTGGCCACAGTACATGCGGATATCACGGTTGATCGGTTGATCACCGTGACGTACCTGCTCCATTTGTGAATGTTGGCAGCTACATCCCACTCTACTTTCAGGCTGTTTAGGTGGAGGTAGGTCGGCAGACTCTGCACGGCATCGTCGTCCCTGTCGGTTCCTCGGCCGTCAACCTTGAACCTTGATGGAACTTTCGTGACTTGAGTTTTGGAGTTGAGCTTGTGACTTTCGTAACTCTGAACCCTGGTTCCTTAGGTTTTTCACTTAGGCCGGCGTGTGGCAAACCGCAACCAAAACAGCACGCATATATAATCGCAAGTGTGTCTGGCTTCATGCCAGCCGAGGGTGAGCCCGCAGAGTGCCCTGTTTCTGAGGTTTTACCTGGTAATTTTACCGTTGGTTCCACTAGAAGGCTGGGTGCTAGGTGCTACTAGTAGTTTCTGGCCTTACTACTAGGACCAAAAGAAGCAGGGGGCCACAGACCTGCCACTGCTGCTGTGGCCAGCGAAGACCGGCAGTGGTAGGTGTGAAAACGTACCTGCAAAGCTGTTTAAAACTGTTTAAAGCGGCTAGTGCATAGGCGGTCTGCTAGGTATTCAGTAAAACGGCTAATGCATAGGCGGTCTGCTAGGTATTCAGTAAAGCGGCTAATGCATAGGCGGTCTGCTAGGTATTCAGTAAAGCGGCTATTGCATAGGCGGTCTGCTAGGTATTCAGTAAATCGGCTGATGCATAGGAGTTGAACCTTTTGTTAAAACACCTTCAAATGCTTGGACCTATCGCCTTTCCGTTCTTTCGCCTTTCTTCCACTTGGGAACTGACTTAACTGAAAACCAATGTCAGAGTGTGACTCGCTCAGTCGTCCCACTTGGGTGCTGGGTGTGATCCTCCGCAAGGAGGCGCCGTTTCCACTTCGGAATTCGTGTAACAGACTCCACCGTTTCCACCGTTCGTTGGATTCTCTGACTTTGTTTCACTACTGGATCAACTGCCACCAAGCCGCCGGGCTTCACGGAAATTCCAAGTTTCATGGCATGGCGATGCGTTGGAACAGGAGACTCGAATAGGAGACCCTTCAACAAGTTTCCACGGTGAACGGTGAGACGCGACACCCCGGACTACCCCCTGGCCTCCGTTGCTATCCCACCCGCTATTCGGGCAACAGAAGGAAATCGCGCTCAACACACTTGTGTGTTGGTGCCTTTCCTTCTGTTTCTCCTATCTATTGCTAGCTACCCGAGCGGTCTAAGACAAAGGTCCCGCTCGCGAGCTACTTTCATTTAACTAAGTGGGCCTCGTAACTACACCTATCTTTCTTTCTTGCCCTCTTAGTCTGCTTTTGTTTTGCTTTCTTAGTTTGTCTTCTAAGGCTTTTGAGGTGGCTAGTAATTTTTCCGCCGCGCCAGAACTGGCGCTATATGTACAAAGTTGCTGTACACAGAGCGCCGATAGCGGCACTATGTGTGTTAACGCCTGTTTCTAAGGTTTTACCTGGTAATTTTACCGTTGGTTCCACTAGAAGGCTGGGTGCTAGGTGCTACTAGTAGTTTCTGGCCTCACTACTAGGACCAAAAGAAGCAGGGGCCACAGACCTGCCACTGCTGCTGCGGCCAACGAAGACCGGCAGTGGTAGTTGTGAAAACGTACCTGCAAAATTGTTTAAAACTGTTTAAAGCGGCTAGTGCATAGGCGGTCTGCTAGGTATTCAGTAAAACGGCTAATGCGTAGGCGGTCTGCTAGGTATTCAGTAAAGCGGCTAATGCATAGGCGGTCTGCTAGGTATTCAGTAAAGCGGCTAATGCATAGGAGTTGAACCTTTTGTTAAAACACCTTCAAATGCTTGGACCTATCGCCTTTCCGTTCTTTCGCCTTTCTTCCACTTGGGAACTGAGTTAACTGAAAACCAATGTCAGAGTGTGTGTGCGCGTAACCTTTGGTTTCACAAGGTGCCTCTTGGCTTTTTTAAAGAATCGTTACGTTGCTCAGCTCCTCGACCTTTAAGTGCGGGGCGGCCATCCAAAAAGCGGCCACAGTACATGTGGATATCACAGCTCATCACCGTGCTGTAACTGCTCGATTTTGTGAATGTTGATAGATACGTCCCTCTCTAGAGTGTTGCAACCGGTTGTTTCCAGGTTTGGTGAGAGTAAAGGGCTAACGCTTTTCGTGATATTGAAATTTTGGAACGTCATGGAACTC